AGGAAGTACCAGTGACTCGCTCAATACGGAAGTGGTCAGATGACGCAGATGCTAAGCTACAGGACTGTTTTGCTAGCACAGACTGGAATATGTTCAGGAATTCTTCCGATGCCATTGAGGAGTACACCACATCAGTCACTGGCTTCATCAATAAGTGCTTCGATGACGTCGTCCCCACAGTGATCAAACGTACACACCACAACCAGAAGCCATGGATTACAGGCAACATCCGCACTGAGCTAAAAGGTAGAGCCGCCACTTTCAAAGAGCGGGACTCTAACCCGGACGCCCTCTGACAAACCATCAAACAGGCAAAGCGTCAATACAGGGCTAAGATTGAATCCTACTACACCGGCTCCGACGCTCGTCGGATGTGACAGGGCTTGCAAACTATTACGGACTACAAAGAGATTCACTCACTCCACACTGCCCTTTCCCACCTGGACAAAAAAAACACCTACGTGAGAATGCTATTCAAATCAAATCACATTTTATTTGCCACATGCGCCGAATACAACAGGTGTAGACATTACAGTGAAATGCTTACTTACAAGCCCTTAACCAACAATGCAGTTTAAAAAATAAATAATAATAAACAGAGTAGCAGCAGCGTAAAAGAGGGGGATGGGGTGAGGTGGGTGGGCAGTGCAAATAGTCAGGGTAGCCATGATTAGCCGTTCAGGAGTCTTATGGCTTGGGGTAGAAGCTGTTGAGAAACCTTTTGGACCTAGACTTGGTGCTCCGGTACCGCTTGGTGCTGCACCCTAGTCATAGAGAACAGTCTATGACTAGGGTGGCTGGAGTCTTTGACAATTTTTAGGGGCTTCCTCTGACACCGCCTGGTATAGAGGACCTGGATGGCAGGAAGCTTGGCCCCAGTGATGTACAATACAATTCAACACAATAGTGCCTTCAAAGCTCATCACTAAGCTAAGGACCCTGGGACTAAACACCTCCCTCTGCAACAGGATCCTGGACTTCCTGACGGGCTGCCCCCAGGTGGTAAGGGTAGGTAACAACACATCTGCACCGCTGATCCTCAACACGGGGGCCCCTCAGGGGTGCGTGCTCAGTCCCCTCCTGTACTCCCTGTTCACCCATGACTGCACGGCCAAGCACGACTCCAACACCATCATTAAGTTTGCCGACGACACAACAGTGGTAGGCCTGATCACCGACAACGATGAGACAGCCTATAGGGAGGAGGTCAGAGAACTGGCAGTGTGGTGCCAGGATAACAACCTCTCCCTCAACGTGATCAAGACAAAGGAGATGATCATGGACTACAGGAAAAGGAGGGCCGAGCATGCCCCCATTCTCATCGACGAGGCTGCAGTGGAGCAGGTTGAGAGCTTCAAGTTCCTTGGTGTCCACATCACCAACAAACTATCATGGTCCAAACACACCAAGACAGTCGTGAAGAGGGCACGACAAAACCTATTCCCCCTCAGGAGCCTGAAAAGATTTGGCATGGGTCCTCAGATCCTCAAAAAGTTATACAGCTGCACAATCGAGAGCATCCTGACTGGTTGCATCACCGCCTGGTATGGCAACTGCTCGGCCTCCGACCACAAGGCACTACAGAGGGTAGTGTGTACGGCCCAGTACATCACTGGGGCCAAGCTTCCTGACATCCAGGACCTCTATACCAGGCAGTGTCAGGGGAAGGCTCTAAAAATTGCCAAAGACTCCAGCCACCCTAGTCATAGACTGTTCTTTCTGCTACCGCACTGCAAGCGGTACCGGAGCGCCAAGTCTAGGTCCAAAAGGCCGTCCAAAAGGCTTCTTAACAGATTCTACCTCCAAGCCATAAGACTCCTGAACATCTAATCAAATGGCTACCCGGACTATTTGCATTTTTACGCTGCTACTACTCTCTGTTTATCTATGCATAGTCACTTTACCTCTACTAAATGTATGCTACTGGTCAAAAGTTTTAGAACACCTACTCATTCAAGGGTTTTTCTTTATTTTTACTATTTTGTACACTGTAGAATAATAGTTAAGACATCAAAACTATGAAATAACACATCTGTAGTAACCAAAAAAGTTTTAAGCAAATCAAAATATATTTTATATTTGAGATTCTTCAAGTAGCCTCACTTTGCCTTGATGACAGCTTTGCACACTATTGACATTCTCTCAACCAGATTCATGAGGTAGTCACCTGGAATGCATTTCAATTAACAGGTGTGCCTTCTTAAAAGTTAATTTGTGGAATTTATTTCCTTCTCAATGCGTTTGAGCCAATCAGTTGTGTTGTGACAAGGTAGGAGGGGTATACAGAAGATAGCCCTATTTGGTAAAATACCAAGTCCATATTATGGCAAGAAGAGCTCAAATAAGCAAAGAGAAATGACAGTCCATCATTACTTTAAGACATGAAGGTCAGTCAATACGGAACATTTCAAGAACTTTGAAAGTTTATTCAAGTGAAGTCGCAAAAACCATCAAGCACTATGATGAAACTGGCTCTCATGAGGACCGCCACAGGGATGGAAGACCCAGAGTTACCTCTGCTGCAGCGGAGAAGTTCATTAGAGTTAACAGCCTCATAAATGCTTCACAGAGTTCAAGTAACAGACACATCTCAACATCAACTGTTCAGAGTAGACTGTGTGAATCAGACCTTCATGGTCGAATTGCTGCAAAGAAACCACTACTAAAGGACACCAATAATAAGAAGAGACTTGCTTGGTCCAAGAAACACGAGCAATGGACGTTAGACCGGTGAAAATGTGTCCTTTGGTCTGGAGTCCAAATTTGAGATTTTTGGTTCCAACCGCCATATCTTTGTGAGACACGGTGTGGGTGAATGGATGATCTCTGCATGTGTATTTCCCACCATAAATCATGGAGGAGGTGCTATGGTGTGGGGGTGCTTTGCTGGTGACACTGTCTGTGATTTATTTAGAATTCAAGGCACACTTAACCAGCATGGCTACCACAGCATTCTGCAGCGATATGCCATCACATCTGGTTTGGGCTTAGTGGGACTATCATTTGGTTTTCAACAGGACAATGGCCAAACACACCTCCAGGCTGTGTAAGGGCTATTTTACCAAGAAGGAGTGTGATGGAGTGCTGCATCAAATGACCTGGCCTCCACAATCCCCCAACCTCAACCAAATTGAGATGGTTTGGGATGAGTTGGACCGCAGAGTGAAGGAAAAGCAGCCAACAAGTGCTCAGCATATGTGGGAACTCCTTCAATACTGTTGGAAAAGCATTCCAGGTGAAGCTGGTTGAGAGAAAGGCAAATGGAGGCTATTTGAAAAATCTCAAATATAAAATATATTTTGATTTGTTTAACACTTCTTTGGTTACTACATGATTCCATATGTGTTATTTCATAGTTTTGATGTCTTCACTATTATTCTACAATGTAGAAAATAGTACAAAATAAAGATAAACCTTTGAATGAGTAGGTGTTCTAAAACTTTCTACAATACCGGTTCTAAAACCGGTATTGTACACATTACCTCAATTACCTCGACTAACCTGTGCCCCCGCACAATGACTCTGTACTGGTACCCCCTGTATATAGCCTTGATAGTGTTATTTTATTGTTGCTCTTTAATTATTTGTTATTTTTCTATTTTCTTCTTATTTTTTACTTCAGTTTATTTAGTAAATACTTTCTTAACACTTATTTTTCTTAAAACTGCATTGTTGGTTAAGGGCTTGTAAGTAAGCATTTCACTGTAAGGTCTACACCTGTTGTATTCGGCGCATGTGACAAATAAAATTTGATTCGATTTTGATTTGAAAATGTTTGCATTTTGAGTGAGTGGTTAGTATATCTGTGTTGTGTTCTAGGTGATCATCCTTGTGGTCTTTTGAGGGGGAGAAGGAGTTTGAGCAGAAGATCAACTTATGGGGGGTGAGTGATGAAGATGATGATGAGCTGTTCCTTCTGGCAGTATGGATAGGCAGAAGTCATCATATAAGTACCAATTAGAACTCTAAGTACTATCCTATTACGTTACTAAGTAATTTAATAGGATCTCTGTGGTATTCATATAATTGATCTCCCTCACTTGTCTCCTAGGTGATAGACGAGAGTAGCAGCATGGTGAACATGATGGCTGCTAAGATGGAGATCTCCATGAGGAAGGGGCCTGTCTGGACCTGCCCTCTCCCACAGACATGTGCACTGAGGGGGGGGAAGGAGAACAGAAAGGGGAATGCATAGAACCAGACAGAGAGAATGAAATCTAGCACACTGTACATGCTGCTCCCATACTTTTTTATGAACCTGTACCCTGTTGGTGGTAGGCTGAGAGCAGTATGTATATCGTACGTATGCAGGCTTTCTGTATTTAGTTGTAGAATTACACTGGGCGCTAATGACACCAATGACATTCTACTCAGAATGCAGAGACTAAACTTCACTGCACTGAAACACTGTCTGAAGGCAATAACCATCAGGTCTTTCTACTACCTCCCCTATCTTCTCAAATGAGAAGAGATCCAGGCAGCTATCACCATAGAAACACTCTTCAGGATCTGTAGCTAATGGATCATCAGGATTTGTAGCTAATGAGCAATTAGGTACAGCGAGTCAGAATGTCAGCAGTTTTCAAGCACACACACACACACACACGGATCAGTCCTCCTGTTCTTTGTCAAGTGCATTTGAGACTATTTGTGCCATTTTATTGATATCAGCTGCCTTCCAGCAAATATAACCGGTAAAACAATGTTCTCTTACCTTAGCAATCATGGTCGTGCTTTAACAGTCTTTGAAAAAAATCACACAAACGTAATACAACTCTGCACCTACATTGTAATTACACTGCTCAGTATGGGCTATCTTTATATCAGAGGGATGAAGCTCACAAACGTTATTCAAAGTCTATTTTTATTTTCCAAATTGGGCAGTTTTACTAAATGCACCCACATAGTATGTCCAGCGGTGGGAGATGATGTGGCTTCAGACTACTGGTGCAGATATAGCATGGAGTATAAGGCTGGGCTGGTGTGTCTTTATCAGGTGCTGTGTGTGTGTGTGTGTGTGTTAGGCAGGGGGTGTGAGTGTCATGGCGGCAGCGTGGACGGTAAACGCAGCGATGCTGATCTGTCGCCTCACTTCCTCCCACGCCTGTTTGGGATTGGCTGCGTGCTCGATGTCAAACAGCGCATCATAGATGCCAGGGAAGGACTCGCCAGCATATTTATTATGACTGCTGGGAGCAAAGATCACATGCCTGAAAAGAGGGAAGAGGGTGAGAGAAAATATGAGGCAAAAAAATAAAATATGATTCTAAACTGATTATGAAGACGTTACACAACACTGAGTATGTGCTTTACGTGGGTCTCACCTGTAGAATGGTCGGCCAGGTAAACCTAGCGGGTCCACGAAGGCTCTCTCCAGGTACATTAGCTGGTCATTGACCATACGTACCTGTATAGGGCTGAGAGAGTAGGGGGACACACCTGTTAACACACTTCCACAACAATACACACACCTATGAAGACACGCTGGAAACCACACACACACACACTCTCTTACTCTGTCCTGTCCAGAGTGTTGAGACGCTCATGGAAGTCCCTGGCAGCCACAGTGAAGTTCTCCACTGCAGAGAACAGAGAATCTGGACAGAAACAAATTAGACTTTGTAGGTGATGGGGGATTCAGAATGAGTGTCTTTGTATGTAAACGTGTGTGTGTTTTCTCTTACCGAATGATACCCCATATGTCACAAGAGCATCTGGGTGTTTCTGTCCCAGCTGAGCGATGGTGTGGGCATACTTTGTCAGAGAGCCAGCGTATTGGCTGGCGTCCAGGGGGAGGAGCTGGGAATCAGCCAATAGGAAGATGAGGCCTCCCCTGACCTGAGCTACGGCTCTGAGCTTCTGGAAGGAAGGGTCGTAGAACCTCTCCACCAACTCAAAGGTCTCATACACACTGTGATACACTGGGTAGCTGCTGTACCGCTCTGTCTTCTACAAAGTAGAATACACACAGGTTTGTTTGCATGAAAAAACATTCATGTTTATTCCTACATCAAATTCCCAATGATAACCCCCATATTGGTGGTGGGCTATTGTATTGCATCAAAAGGACATCTGCAATGTGCTCCTGTCTCCAGGTTCCCCTGTCCGCCCCTAGAACAATGTCCCTCACCCTGTTCTTGGTGTATCGGGCCCTGCCTGCTGCGATGCCCAGTCGGATGAAATACGCCTCAAAGTCACTGCCTGAACCCAGCTTACTGATCCTACAGAGAGAGAGGGAGAGAGAGAGAGAGAGAGAGAGAGAGAGGGAAAACCACAAAAGGTTGGTTCATATAAAAAAAAATATATACACCAAATAAGTCAGACTGGATAAGAGCGTCTGCTAAATGACAAAAATCTGAAATGTAAATAAAATAAATCAATAAAAGTGCATATGTGATCAGAGTGACAAGTCTATTGTGGTTGGTGATGGGTCTGACCTGGGTGCATCGCGGTCATCTGTCCAGTTGTCCCGCTTGTGCCAGCTCTCATACAGAGACACCCCCTCCTCTCCCTCTTCTGGACTTGACACCTACACAGAGATGGAGAGTGGAATAAACTAATGTTTTCTGCATTGGCATGCACCAGCAGGTGTGGGGTCATGTAATTTGTTAAAGACTTACTATGACCACTCTGAGCCTGTAGGTAGCAGCAATACCCATTGTGGTGTTCAATGTGACTATAGATGTATAGAACAGCCCTCAGAAAAGACTAAATTCGTCGGGGCATGGACTCTACAAGGTGTCTACAAGGTGGTATTCTGGCCCATGTTGACTCCAATGCTTCCCACAGTTGTGTCAAGTTGGCTAGATGTCCTTTGTGTGGTGGACCATTCTTGATACACACGGGAAAATGTTGAGCGTGAAAAAACCAGCAGCGTTGCAGTTCTTCACACAAACCGGTGCGCCTGGCACCTACTACCATACCCCGTTCAAAGGCACTTACATTTCTAAATAAATACAGGCCTATTTACCTTCTAAATGGCACACATACACAATCCATGTCTCAATTGTCTCAAGGCTTAAAAATCCTTTTAGCCTGTCTCCTCCCCTTCATCTACACTGATTGAAGTGGACATTAATAAGGGATCATAGCTTTTACCTGGATTCACCTGGTCAGTCTATGTCATGGAAAGAGCAGTTTTAATGTTTTGTACACTCAGTATAGTCGGGAACAATGTCGGTCTGTACCCTGTGAAAGTAACCGCCTCTTCTGCTTTACTTCCATATCATGTCCCCTAATCTTTTGAATGAGCTTGATCAAATTCGTGAAAACACGGTCATTTAAGATATATATAAAATTACATTTGTGTTTGTGGATGAATTTACTTCTGCCAGATGCCTTTTATGAAGTTTTGTGCTGAAAAAATGTTTTTGCCCATTGAATACTATTCAAAAAGTGTACAAAAGTTCAAAAACTACAAGGCTACTTCCTGGAAAGCGAAACGTCACAGTGTAATCCAGAAATAGACAGTTGATTCAAGTTTACCTGTTTCGTGATGTCGTACACCAAGTTGTGGAGGGAGGGAGTGCAGTCTATCCTCAATGTGTACATACCTGCAACACACAAAGAAACACACACACACACCTGAGTGTCATTTTCATATGTGACAACCTTCCCAACCCCACCCCAACACACACACACACACAAACTCACCCTCTATCGCTGAGTCTGCATTGATGTAAGCCACTGCTCTCTCCTGCAGCACTTTGGCATTTTCCTGTCAAGGACAGACATTTAGATTAGAGTTTAGTCCTCTCTGTTAACAGAGCACTACAGTACACTTCTCCCTCGCCACAACCTCACATAATGTGTGTAGTACCTCAGCCCACTCTGTTGATCCCAGCAGTCCAAACTCCTCTGCGTCCCAACTGGCAAATACTATGGTCCTCCTGGGTCTCCAGCCTATAGCACATACACACACACACACACTGAAAGTCCAGAGAAAACACACTGGGCCAAATGCATTGAACCTCTAAAATACACACCACTTCTCAAAGACAAACATAATATAAGGAAACAGGCCTGATAGAACATTCTAGAACAATACAGAGAACTTCTCCAGACTGCTACAGTATGGGAACATTCTAGAATTCTTGCATGCAGAGTTTTTCATGCAGATTACACCTGTGTCTGCTGTTTTATGTTTTTATGATGCAGCTGTAGTCATAAAGACTTGTCTCAGTACATAGTGGTGTGTGTGTGTGTGTGTGTGTGTGTGTGTGTGGGTGTGTGTGTGGGTGTGTGTGTGTGTGTTTAAATGCATGTGTGTGTTAATCTGATCCCCCCCCACACACACACCTTTTCTGAGCAGTTTCCCGGCGCTCCTCACACTCTCGTGCACCACGGCAGCTCCCGTTACCGGGTCGATCCCCCCGAACACCCAGGCATCCCGGTGGCCCCCCAGGATCACATAGCGGTCTGCCAACAACGGAGAGAGGAGGGGGGAGAGGGATCAGGTATTTGAAATGAAACAGTGATGATAGTTATTGGTGTTGAGTTGTGTATAGGAAGCTCCATATAGTCACTGGGCCACAGAACTATTGTCTCCCAATGTCATGTCCCCTGGCTACACAGGCTGTGGGCCAAACGCTCATACAATGTTTCCATAAACCAGGTCAACAGGTCCTTACTAGAACATTCAGAGAAGGTTGTGGGAAGTGGTACCTGGCTCCACGGCCCCTCGTAACTTCCCGATGACGTTGTATATCCGGGTCACCTGGTTGTTGGTGTGGATGTTCATACGCACCTTCCTGAGAACCACAGAGAGGAGACAGAGACAGACACTCTACGTCGTTGTTGTTTTAGTAACCCCAATTCTCCTCCACTGTTGTTGATGGTAACAAAGAGAGCCCCCTCCCTCACCCCTAGCCTTGGTGCCAATCTGTTCCTGTTCTCTTGCCAACTCCTTGTGAAATTGTCATGCAGAACATGTTTGTCTTGACAACGACAATTGTGTAGGCAAAAGCACAAACAGATCTGGGAGCAGGCTCCCTCAGCCCCACTCGTTGTGCGTTGGTCTATTTCTCTCTCACAGGGACACACAAGGATCCTCTATTCTACTGCTCTGGGCAACACTTCAGAGAATTAGAGAGAGAGAGGGGAGGGCCTCCCGAGTGGCGCAGCTGTCAAGGCACTGCATCGCAGCATCACTACAGCCTGTTGGTTTGATCCCAGGCTGCGTCACAACCGGCCGTGACCGGGAGTCCCATAGGGCGGCGCACAATTGGGCCAGCATCGTTTGGGGAGGGTTTGGCCAGGGGGGCTTTACTTGACTCATCGCGCTCTAGTGACTCCTTATGGCGGGCCTGGCACCTGCAGGCTGACTTCGGTCGTCAGTTGAACAGTGTTTCCTCCGAAACATTGGTGCAGCTTGCTTCCGGGTTAAGCAAGCGGGTGTTAAGAAGCGCGGCTTGGCGGGTCATGTTTCGTGGGACGCATGACTCAACCTTCCCCTCTTCCGAGCCCGTTGGGGAGTTGCAGCGATGAGACAAGATCGTAACCATGAAAAAGGGGTAAAAAATACAACAACAAAAAAAAGGAGGTGGAGAGGGAGAGAGGGAGAGAAACAGACACAGATTGGTGATGGAGAAAGAGGGCTAAGGGAGAGAGGTTTGAAAGGAGGGACAGAGGGCCAGGTGTATTGTGTCTTACTGCGTACTGAAGCCGTCAGTGAAGCCCGGTCCAATCCGATAGGACACATTCAACGCTCCCTTCCAGTTATTGGGTGGGATGTCTCCTCCCATATTCCTGCCATGGGTGACATCATACAGGAAGTTACATTACACACAGGAAATGTGTGTGTGTGAGCTCTGATTGGCTGCCATCATAATACTCACTTCAGTAGTTGGATGGCATCATGATAGCCAATAGGATGCACTGGAATTTTTGGAAGCCCCACCCCTTCCTCCAGGTTGTACCTGTAAGTGTATTCTGGAGGAGAGGGAGAGGATGTTTATATTCCCCCTTTATCACAGAAACATACATGTCTCTATAAGAACACACACACAGACACACACACACCTTTAGCAGGGTACCCTGGTGTAAGGGGGTCTCCTGCTCCGTTCAGGTTGAGGACATTACCCCTCTGTGCCCCTCCGCCTGGAAGGTTCCACCCGTCGGGGTATGGCTGCACATAGAATCACAAATAGTAGAGTGGACATAGTTTCTCAGTTCACATATTTCTTTGTTGTTTTAAATAGGATGTCTATTCTACTCATTGATATTCTATGTACAGTACCTGAACTCCTGGGGCGCAGTAATCTGCAGGGTCCGAGAACATGATTATACCACTTGCCCCATGAAGCATCGCATTCTTCACCTACAGAGGGATGGAGAGAGAGAGAGAGAGGATGAGAGTGGGAGAGGGAGGGGGAGAGAGTATGGGGAGAGAGAGAGAGGGAGAGAGGGACAGAGAGAGAGAGAGAGAGAGAGAGAGAGACAGAGAGAGAGGGACAGAGAGAGAGAGAGAGAGAGAGAGAGAGAGAGAGAGAGAGAGAGAGAGAGAGAGAGAGAGAGAGAAAGACCTTGTTTCCTCTGAAGATATTTCCATATCTGACAATGACGATCTTCCCAGTGACGTTAATCTCCATCTCTCTCTCCAGCTGGAAGAAGTCCTCTGTACGCCCATAGTTCACATAAACCAGGTCACCCTGAGGAAACATGCACAGTCAGTAGGTCTCTGTGTGTGTGTGTGTGTGTGTGTGTGTGTGTGTGTGTGTGTGTGTGTGTGGTGTGTGTGTGTGTGTGTGTGTGGGTGTGTGTGTGTGTGTGTGTGTGTGTGTGTGTGTGTGTGGGGGTGTGGGTGTGGGTGTGGGTGTGTGTGTGTGTGTGTGTGTGTGTGTGTGGGTGTGTGTGTGGGTGTGGGTGTGGGTGTGGGTGTGGGTGTGTGTGTGTGTGTGGGTGTGGGTGTGTGTGTGTACCCTACCACTGGTTGTCCCTGTGCTGAGAAGGCGCTATAGGGAGGAACGATGTCAGAGACATTCTCATATCCCTCAGGAACCGGCTCTGATAGAGAAGTGTTGAACACCTGGAAGACAGACAGACAGGCAGACAGACAGACACAAAGCGAGACAGACACACACACAAACACACACACACAGACAAACAAACAGACAGACACACACACAGACAGACACACACACACACACTCAGACAGACAGACACACAGACAGATACTAAATAGTCAACAATCAATAGGAAATAGTCAATAACAAAACAAGAAGCAGATTTCTAGCCAAACCAGGTACACATGGTCACTGTGACATTGCAGCACCTTATCTCTCTCTTTCACTCTCTCTTTCTTTCACACACACACTGGCTATGGCCTTATCTCTTCATTAGTTATCAGCCTAAAGGGACCTTGGTCTACCATGTGGTTTCCATGGTAACAATGCCTCCTGTAGCTCAGTTGGTAGAGGATGGCGCTTGCAACGCCAGGGTTGTGGGTTCGTTTCCCACGGGGGGCCAGTATGAAAAATGTATGCACTCACTAACTGTAAGTCGCTCTGGATAAGAGCGTCTGCTAAATGACTTAAATGTAAATGTACCATGGGAGAGAGAGCACCTGTCCTCTGGAACTAACCTATTAAAAGATCCCTGAGGTAGCCCTTGAGAACTGCCTATCATACACTCAATTAGAAACAACATCTGTTGACTGAAGAATGAAATGTCTGTGCGTGTGTGCACGTATGTGCGTGTGAGTGAGTGAGTGAGTGAGTGAGTGAGTGTGTGAGTGAGTGAGTGTGTGAGTGAGTGAGTGAGTGAGTGAGTGTGTGAGTGAGTGAGTGAGTGAGTGAGTGAGTGTGTGTGTGAGTGAGTGAGTGAGTGAGTGAGTGAGTGTGTGAGTGAGTGAGTGAGTGAGTGAGTGAGTGAGTGAGTGTGTGAGTGAGTGAGTGAGTGAGTGAGTGAGTGAGTGAGTGAGTGTGTGAGTGCGTGAGTGAGTGAGTGAGTGAGTGAGTGAGTGAGTGAGTGAGTGAGTGTGTGAGTGAGTGTGTGAGTGAGTGAGTGTACCTCATTGCCCAGCTGGTCTACTATAGAGATGTAGTTGGGTTGTGATGTGTTGGGGTATGACAGCAGCACATCATAAGGCACCATCTCTACTGAGTCCAGACCATACTCTAGCCACTCCCCTTTTATCTGTTCAGCCAATCTGAGGTTCTGCTCTGTACCGGCCAGGTGGGGTAACCGGGTGAACTTCCTGCAGAGAGAGAGAGAGAGAGAGAGAGGAGCGTAGAGAGAGAGATAGAGAGAGAGAGAGAGAGAGAGAGGATAGAGAGATCTCGCTCATCTTCTAGAGAGAGCGAGCTCGACTGCTAGTCTCTCATCTACTCTCCCTCAGCTCTCTCTACGCTCTCTCTCTCTCGTACTCTCTCGCTCTCTCTCTCTCTCTCGCATATCTCTCTCAGAGAGGTGTTAGATACAGAGACGAAGGGGTCCCGTGTGGCTCAGATGGTAGAGCATGCGCAGGGTTGTGGGTTTGATTCCCACGCAGGACCAGTACGAAAAAGTAAAAGTGTATGCGCTCACTACTGTAAGTCGCTCTGGATAAGAGTGTCTGCTAAATGACTAAAATGTAAGAAGAGGAAAGTAATAAAGGGAAATATATTTTTTTAAAGGATGTGTATATGTATACTGTGTATATATATTTGCTTGAAAAAAAAAAACATATGTGGTATTGGAAGTGATGCAGACAATTACATTGATGGAAGTTACAATCTATCTGCAATATTAAAGGTGATCTACCACCTTAAATAAAAAAAGAAAGAAATAATGTAAGAAGAGGAGGAGAGGGGGAGTGTGATTGAGTGTTAATAGGCCGACCTGCGTGTGTAGTGGAGGAACAGGGTTCTAGTATTGTGTACCTGAGATGGTCTCTGATGTTCTCTGGTCGCATCTCATCCAGAAACTCTCTCAGGTAACGTCTGGACCCTTCATCATGGCTTGTGTCTGTACTGCTGGGCCTCGCAAACCAGCCTGGTACACACACACACACACACACACAGGCATGTTATGTTATATAAACTAATACACCACCCTGACTGACAGACAGACTTAAAGCACCCACCATGACAGACAGACAGACTCAGTATCACTCTCCCTGTATATCAAATAAAAGTGTATTATTCATATGCACAGGATACAACACAATGAAATGAAACTGTGCATTGAAATGCTTACGAGCGTCCTCAACATTGCAGTAAATCATAAACAAGCAGTAAGACTACAGCAGTCACAATAACACTGTCAATAATAACACAATAACACTGTCAATAATAACACAATAACACTGTCAATAATAACACAATAACACTGTCAATAATAACACAATAACTCTGTCAATAATAACACAATAACACTGTCAATAATAACACAATAACACTGTCAATAATAACACAATAACGCTGTCAATAATAACACAACAACGCTGTCAATAATAACACAATAACACTGTCAATAATAACACAATAACGCTGTCAATAATAACACAATAACACTGTCAATAATAACACAACAACGCTGTCAATAATAACACAATAACACTGTCAATAATAACACAATAACGCTGTCAATAATAACACAACAACGCTGTCAATAATAACACAATAACACTGTCAATAATAACACAATAACACTGTCAATAATAACACAATAGCACTGTCAATAATAACAAAGTATACAAAAAGTAGACAAAGTAATAAAAAAATAAAGTAATAAAAACTAAAATGTACAGAATATAGTGTGAATATGATTCAGTGTTATAGACGAGTAGTAAAGGGAATAGTGACTGGAGCAACAGTGGTGTATATAATAAATACAGGCAGCAGTAGTGTGTGAGACTGTATATGTGTGTTTGTCTGTGTGTGTGTGTGTGTGTGTGTGTGTGTGTGTGTGTGTGTGTGTGTGTGCATGTGCGTGTGTGTGAACTGGGAATGCAGAGAGTCTATGCAAATAGTCTTAAGGTGCCTGTGGACGGCAGGTATGTGCAGATAGACAGCCAGGGGTTAACTATAGTCTTATGGCCTGAAGGTAGGGGCCCTGAATCACCCATAGGCTACTTACTAGGGCTGTTTCACTGTCCAATGTACCATGCCAGATAAATATTGTTATTGTGTAACACCATACTGTAGTAATGTAGCTTTTAGTGTGAGTGTGTGTCTGTCATGTGTTATGACGCTAGTAACAGAGAAGGTAGAAAGGTCAGCAGATGTGATCTGTGCTTGTGGAGGAGTAGACTCTGGCATAACCCTGACAGTGTGACACACACACACACATTCACGAAGTGGATCATTGTGCATTCCTGTCTCTTCCAAACTCTAAAATACATGTAGGTCACAGTTCATCTCAGAGCTGACTGAGGAATTTAGTCACATATGGTCACTTGTGTGCGCTTATACCACTGTACTCTGTTGTTTCCTCATCATTTTTTTTTAACATTTTTAGTCATTTAGCAGACGCTCTTATCCAGAGCGACTTACAGTTAGTGAATACATTTTTTTTTTTTTATACTCGCCCCCCGTGGGAATCGAACTCACAACCCTGGCGTTGCAAACGCCATTCTCTATCAACTGAGCTACATCCCTGCCGGCCATTCCCTCCCCTACCCTGGGCGACGCTAGGCCAATTGTGCGCCGCCCATGAGTCTCCCGGTCGCGGCCGACTGCGACAGAGCCTGGATTCGAACCAGGATCTCTAGTGGCACAGTTAGCACTGCGATGCAGTGCCTTAGACCACTGCGCCACTCAGGAGTGGACTCATCAGAATCCCCTAAACGTGTTCATTGACAAGACAATAAGCACTTTTTTTGTAACCCTGTGTTAAGACTACTTTTTCATATTCAGTCTGTTACTAGTAACACACAGCGACTTCGGACGTTTGAAAAGGTGCCTTGCGAACTATAATATGCCTTTCTCGGCGCGCGCCAAAAAAATAAAACCGTTGCCCCAGACAGATGCATATTATAGTTAATAAACTTGGTATTATTATAAACTCCACTATGATATGCAAAAGTAACAAATGGTTAAAATTCCACTACAACTATCATTCGCCAGTAAAAGGAAACTTTAACTTCTGAAAATGTGTATAATCAGCGCCTGAAATGGCATTATAACTCACCTATTATAAACCCGGTCAGGAAAAACGATGTTATAACGGTGAGCCAACATATCCACTGCACGAGCCTGCTTTCGGTTTTCATTGTCCCGCTTGGTAACACTCCGAAACATCGACCACATCCAACAAGATAATGGAGTGCGTGTGTGTGAGAAGTAGAGAGAGAGAGAGAGAGAGAGATAGAGAGAGAGATAGAGAGAGGGGCGGGGGGGGGGGGGGGGGGCTAGGTCTACAACTATAAATTACATTTTCACCTTAATTATCATATCATTACCTCGTTTGTCTCAGTTTCTCCGTAGTTGATATAAATAGTTCTGTGACATTTTCCCACACTCTTGGGCAGCCTGCGGTCGCGCTTGACCCCTTTTGCGCCCAGTCCTGCCTCTGCGCATTTCCAGGACAGCTGAGGGAGGCCTGCGCCTCTTTCATGCGGTGGGCTCGAGCGTGAAGCAGGAGGCTCGCTGGGCTCTGGAATGTGCGGTGGGGAAACGTTCCAAGAGTGACACTGTCAGCAGAAGACACAGATCTGATTCAGACTTCTTCCTGTGCCTGCCTGCCTAACCCAACGTAGCAGGCGTAAAATAACACAGGTGATTAGTAGGTGCAACGGTGCCTGCCTGTAGTATGTGTGCGCACAATTGCCTCTGCAAAAAGGTCTCGACCTTCATGGCACAGGTCGGAGTAGGCTATATATAGCCTGTAGACTAGTGCATTTGTCCTGTAATCACACAGTTTCTGGTTCAAGCCCCGCCATAGCTGTACACCCATGCTAGTGACTTATAGTGATGACTATGAACAATAGATTAAAATGCCAGTGTCAACTTGTTTTCGGATGCGCTTGGTGGCAATCTATCTTCTAAGTTGCAGTGGGCGGTTCTAGCCAGAGTGAGGCACTAGTACCCTACTGCCTAAACTAGACCCAGACCCCTTTTTCAAAAGCAGGCGAGGACGGGACAGAAGAGAGGACTCGAGGAGTCGAGCAAAAACAATAGAGATTCTCCCACGGTCTTTTTGCAAACTCCTGTAATGAAGAAAGTTTCCTCTTTTGCTGTCTCTTAAAATTTATATTTGACAGTTGTTTAAAAAAAAAATTGGTGAACAATACAAAAGGTTCAGGATATCAGCACTGCCATTTAATAACTGTTAGCGCTTTAATGTTTACAATTCAAGAGGCTATTCCTCTTCTAGGCTTTTACGGCTGTGTTTTCTCTAGGCTAGTCATGATTAATTTGGGGAGGCTACGTTGTTACCTATAGGTTACTCTCTCAGGCCTCCGACGTTGCACCCTCTGCTCTATAATAACCCACCGTTTTTTTCATGTTGCTTTCACCGCAGACACAAGAGTGGAGACTGAAGAACCATGGAAAACTACCCCCACGAGCATGGAGTGCGGTGGCGCCCTCACCCGTTAGAAAAAGAGAAAGACGGTGGAGAAAGAGAGAGAGCGAGAGAGCGAGAGAGGAGGAGAAAACGACAAGCCGGTTCGCCGGTGCTAAAATACTCCACGCTGTGCACAAGGACACCGGGACAAAAATGCACCCCAAAGATATGCGAGACATTAGAATGCCGGTTTATCGGGAGTGATCCGCAAAGAGACGGGTTTTTGTCACTCACTGGTAGGAGGAGATTCGGAGTCAAACAAAAGGGATTGATTCTCTGTAAACTCCCAAACTGGAAAACTTGGCAGCGGTCTGTGCCGCTGAAACATGGCTTTGTCAGTGCGGAGTTGGGTCGCGAACGAGGGAGGAAAACACTTGGTTCTGGTAAGAATAGTACAACCTAATCCCGATACAACATTTTTATTATAGTATTACACTGTTATTATATGTTTTTACTATTCTAAAGAAAAGTTACTGAGTGGAGCTGTTGCAATTTACAATCTCGATCCTAACTGGAAATTGGGAAGCAGCCTAACACTTGAACAGAGTGCTGATGTGGTTGGATGTTGTCATCATCAATCATTATCAATAATCATCTTCATCTTCATCATCTTCATCGTCATCATCATCGTCGTCATCATCATCACCACTGACATCTTGTTTGTGTGTTTCTGTGCATGTGTGTGTGTGTGTGTGTGTGTGTTAGGTGCTGTGGCTGGGAGCTAACACCTTGTTGTTCATGAGGACGTTCCTATTGTACTACCGTGGGCAGCAGTACCACTATCTCCATCAGATGCTCGGGGTAAGACACCAATCCAACACACTGCTATTATACCGTGATCACAGAACAGATTGTATAGCAGGGATTATCAACTAGCCGCAGTCTGATTTTTTTCTTGAGTCAGAGGCCTGGAACATAATTACAAATAATTTGTAGACTGCAGATGGACAACAAGAAGCCCAAACAGATATAATATTTGACTAAAACATAATCATTTCAAACCTTGCTGACGTTTTTATACGATCACGTGTCTCTCTATTATGCGTGGGAATACTTGGGAACAGATTTACAAAATTAAAATCACTTGAAGCTGATTTCCTGGAATTGTTATTTATTCTCAGAAAACTTGGGGGACCAAATTAAACGTCCCCCGCTGTATGGAACACCCATACACACACAAACGTCTCCTTTTATTTTTAGGGTTAGGGGGTTCCTATTCAGTAGCTGATATTTATATAAAGACACTGGATGGAGCCCAGCGACTTGGTGACATTCAGTTGACACTCTGGAATGTGACACACACTCCCATGTGAGTTTGGTGTAATTGTTGTCACAAGTCGTTGTGGGTCGCAGGTTTAGGCCACTAAAACAGCTTATTGTCCTCCACAATCAAACAAATGGCATTTAAATGCTTTGAGATATATTTTCTTGATTGTCTGGTCTATTGGCCTCTCACACTAATATAAATGTTTTTATTTAAATATAACTCTGATGTTCTTGTTATAGTTTGCATGCAGTTACCATTCCACTGCTGAAACTGGTCTAAAAGAGCATGAAGGCAGACTGTCAGGATCCTTAGCCAGTGACACGGGTACCAGTGGTCATTACCTAGGGCCAGGAGTTGTTCCTGACTACATGACCTGACCAGGAAAAACTCTAGTGCGAAACAAATATGGAAGTTATATCTAAAAGGCAGTAACTCCCCCACACACCTCTGGCAGGCTATCTGTATGATGTAGGTGAACCCTTCATACACTCCTCATACTTTTAGAAGGGCAAGTGTAGGCACGCCACTGGTCTCTGAATGAATTCCTGGGTAGCAGCTTTACACACCTGTGAGAGAGAGAGACAAAGAGAGAGAGAGAGACAGAGAGAGAGGCAGAGAGACTGAGGCATAGAGAGAGCGAGGCAGAGAGAGAGGCAGAGAGAGGGAGAGGCAGAGAGACTGAGGCATAGAGAGAGAGAGAGGCAGAGAGACTGAGGCAGAGAGAGAGAGAGAGAGAGAGAGGCAGAGAGAGAGAGGCAGAGAGACTGAGGCAGAGAGAGAGAGAGAGGCAGAGAGAGAGAGGCAGAGAGACTGAGGCAGAGAGAGAGAGAGAGAGAGAGAGAGAGAGAGAGAGAGAGAGAGAGAGAGAGAGCGGCAGAAAGAGAGAGACTGAGGCAGAGAGAGAGAGGCAGAGAGAGAGAGAGAGAAACAAAGAACAAACAGCAACAACAAATACACGATCAATTAAACATTTTAGAGTCAGCTATTAAAGACTACCAGAACCCACTGGATTCTCCAATTACACTGAACAAAAATATAAACGCAACATCCAACAATTTCAAAGATTTTACTGAGTTACAGTTCATATAAGGAAATCAGTCAAGTGAAATACATTAATTAGGCCCTAGTCTATGGATTTCACATGACTGGGAATACAGATATGCATATGTTGGTCACAGATACCTTAAAAAAAGGCAGGGGCATGGATCAGAAAACCAGTCAGTATCTGGTGTGACCAACATTTGCCTCATGCAGCGCGACACATCTCTTTCGCATATAGTTGATCAGGCTGTTGATTGTGGCTTGTGGAATGTTGTCCCACTCCTCTTCAATGGCTGTGCGAAGTTGCTGGATATTAGTGGGAACTGGAACATGCTGTCGTACACGTCGATCCAGAGCATCCCAAACATGCTCAATGGGTGACATGTCTGGTGAGTATGCAGGCCATGGAAGAACTGGGACATTTTCAGCTTCCAGGAATTGTGTACAGATCCTTGCGACATGGGGCCATGCATTATCATGCTGAAACATGAGGTGATGGCGGCGGATGAATGGCACGACAATAGGCCTCAGGATCTCGTCACATTCTCTGGCAACAGCTCTGGTGGTCATTCCTGCAGTCAGCATGCCAATTGCACGCTCCCTCAAGACATCTGTGGCATTGTGTTGTGTGAGGAAACTGCACATTTTAGAGTGGCCTTTATTTTCCCCAGCACAAGGTGCACCTGTGTAATGATCTCGCTATTTCATCAGCTTCTTGATGTGCCACACTTGCAAGGTGGATGGATTATCTTGGCAAAAGAGAAATGCTCACTAACAGGGATGTAAATACATTTGTGCACCAAATTTGAGAGAAATATGCTTTTTGTGCGAATGGAAAATTTCTGGGATCTTTTATTTCAGCTCATGAAACATGGGACCAACACTTTACATGTTGCATTTATATTTTTGTTCAGTAATACATTTAATGAACTACAGGACAAAATACAAACCCTTCAACCCAAAAAGGCCTGTGGTGTTAACGGTATCTTAAATGAAATGATAAAATATATCGACCACAAATTCCAATTAGCTATACTTAAACTCTTTAACATCGTCCTCAGCTCTGGCATATTCCCCTATACTTGGAACCAAGGACTGATCACCCCAATCCACAAAAGTGGAGACATATTAGACCCCAATAACTACCGTGGGATATGCGTCAACAGCAACCTTGGGAATATCCTCTACTATATCATTAATATTAACAGCAGACTCCTACATTTCCTCAGTGAAAACAATGTCCTGAGCAAATGTCAAATAGGCTTTTTAGCAAATTACCCTACGACAGACCACGTATTCACCCTAACAAACCAAAACAAAGGGAAAGTCTTCTCACGCTTTGTTGATAAAAAAAACTTTAGACTCAATTTGGCATGAGGGTCTACTATATACATTGATGGAAAGCAGTGTTGGGGGGAAAATATACAACATTATAAAATCCTTTTACACAACCAACAAATGTGCGGTTAAAATAAACTGAAATAATTCTTTCCTCAGGGCCGGGGGGTGAGACTGGGATGCAACTTGAGCCCTACCTTCTTCAACATATACACTATATATACAAAAGTATGTGGACACCCCTTCAAATGAGTGGATTAGGCTATATCAGCCATACCCGTTGCTGACATGTATAAAATCTAGCACACAGCCATGCAATCTCCATAGACAAACATTGGCAGTAGAATGGCCTTACTGAAGAGCTCAGTGACTTTCAATGTGGCACCCTCATAGGATAACACCATTCCAACAAGTCAGTTCGTCAACTTTCTGCCCTGCTAGAGCTGCCCTGGTCAACTGTAAGTGCTGTTATTGTGAAGTGGAAATGTCTAGGAGCAACAACGACTCAGCCACAAAGTGGTAGGCCACACAAGCTCACAGAATGGGTCCGGCAAGTGCTGAAGCGCTTAGCGCGTAAAAATCGTCTGTCCTCGGTTGCAACACTCACTACCGAGTTCCAAACTGCCTATGGAAGCAACGTCAGCACAGTAAATGTTTGTCGGGAGCTTCATGAAACGGGTTTCCATGGCCGAGCAGCCACATACAAGCCTAAGATCACCATGCGCAATGCCAAGCGTCGGCTGGAGTGGTGTAAAGTTCGCCACCATTGGACTCTCGAGCAGTGGAAACGTTCTCTGGAGTGATGAATCATGCTTCACCATCTGGCAATCCGAAAGCTGAATCTGGGTTTGGCGGATGTCAGGGGAATGCTACCTGCCCAAATGCATAGTGCCAACTGTAAAGTTTGGTGGAGGAGGAATAATGGTCTGGGGCTGTTTTTCATGGTTTGGGCTAGGCCCCTTAGTTCCAGTGTAGGGAAATCTTAACGCTACAATATACAATTACATTCTAGATGATTCTGTGCTTCCAACTTTGTGGCAACAGTTTGGGAAAGGCCCTTTCTTGTTTCAGCATGACAATGCCCCCGTGCACAAAGCGAGGTCCATACAGAAATGGGTTGTCGAGATCGTTGTGGAAGAACTTGACTGGCCTGCACAGGGCCCTGACCTCAACCCCATCGAACACCTTTGGGATGAATTGGAACGCCGACTGCGAGCAAGGTCTAGTCGCCCAACATCAGTGCCTGACCTCACTAATGCTCTTGTGACTGAATGGAAGCAAGTACCCGCAGCAATGTTCCACCATTTAGTGGAAAGCCTTCTCCGAAGAGTGGAGGCTATTATAGCAGCAAAGGGGGGACCAGTTCCATATAAAGGCCCATGATCTTGGAATGAGATGTTCGACGAGCAGGTGTCCACATACTTGTCATGTAGTGTATGTCAATGAATTGGCGAGGGCACTAGAACAGTCTGCAGCACCCAGCCTCACCCTATTAGACTCTGAAGTCAAATGTTTACTGATGATCTGGTGCTTCTGTCCCCAACCAAGGAGTGCCTACAGCAGCACCTAGATATTCTGCACAGATTCTGTCAGATCTGGGCCCTGACAGTAAATCTCAGTAAGACAAAAATAATGGTGTTCCAAAAAAGGTCCAGTTGCCAGGACCATAAATACAAGTTCCACCTAGACCCTGTTGCCCTAGAGCACACAAAAAACTATACCACCTCGGCCTAAACATCAGCACCACATTTAGGTTCCACAACGATCTGAGAGACAAGGCAAGAAGGGCCTTCTACGCCATCAAAAGGAACATCAAATTTGACATCCCAATTAGGATCTGGCAAAAAATACTTTAATCATTTATAGAACCCATTGCCCTTTATGGTTGTGAGGTCTGAGGTCCACTCACCAACCAAGAATTCACAAAATGGGACAAACACCAAACTGAGACTCTGCATGCAGAATTCTGCAAATACTTCCCCTGTGTACAACGTAAAACACAGAATAATGCATGCAGAGCAGAATTAGGACGATTCCCGCTAATGATAAAAATCCAGAAAATAGCCGTTAAAGTCTACAACCACCTAAAAGGAAGTGATTCTCAAACCTTCCATAACAAAGCCATCACCTACAGAGAGATGAACCTGAAGAAGACTACTCTCAGCCAGCTGGTACAGGGACTCTGTTCACAAACACAAGCAGACCCCACAGAGCCCCAGGACAGCAACACAATTAGACCCAACCAAATCATGAGAAAAACAAAAAGATAATTACTTGACACATTGGAAATAATCACACACAAAAAAAAGCAAACTGGCATGTTATTTTGCCCTAAACAGAGAGTACACAGTGGCATAATACCTGACCATGTGACTGACCCAAAATTAAGGAAAGCTTTGACTATGTACAGACTCAGTGAGCATAGCCTTGCTATTGAGAAAGCCACCGTAGGCAGACCTGGCTCTCAAGAGAAGACAAGCTATGTGCACACTGCCCAAAAAATGAGGTGGAAACTGAGCTGCACTTCCTTTCCTCCTGTCAAATGTATAACCATATTAGAGACACATATTACACAGACCCACAAAGAATTTGAAAACAAATCCAATCTTGATAAACTCCCAAATCTATTAGGTGAAATACCACAATGTGCCATCACAGCAGCAAGATTTGTGACCTGTTGCCACAAGAAAAGGGCAACCAGTGGAGCACAAACACCATTGTAAATACAACCTACACTACTTGTCAAAAGTTTTAGAACTCCTACTCATTCAAGGGTTTTTCTTTATTTTTACTGTTGTATAATAATAGTGAAGACATCAGAACTATGAAATAACACATATGGAATCATGTAGTAACCACAAAAGTGTTAAACAAATAAACATATATTTTATATTTGAGATTCTTCAAATAGCCACCGTTGCCTTGATGACAGCTTTGCACACTCTTGGCATTCTCTCAACCAGCTTCATGAGGTAGTCACCTGGAATGCATTTCAATTAACAGGTGTGCCTTCTTAAAAGTTAATTTGTGGAATTTCTTTCCTTCTCAATGCATTTGAGACAATCAGTTGTGTTGTGACAAGGTAGGCGGGGTGTACAGAAGATAGCCCTATTTGGTAAAAGACCAAGTCCATATTATGGCAAGAACAGCTGAAATAAGAAAAGAGAAACAACAGTCCATCATTACTTTAAGACATGAAGGTCAGTCAATCCGGAACATTTCAAGAACTTTGAAAGTTTCTTCAAGTGCAGTCGCAAAAACCGTCAAGCTCTATGATGAAACTGGCTCTCATGAGGACCGCCACAGGAATGGAAGACCCAGAGTTACCTCTGCTGCAGAGGACAAGTTCATTAGAGTTACCAGCCTCAGAAATTGCAGCCCAATAAATGCTTCACAGAGTTCAAGTCACAGACACATCTCAACATCAACTGTTCAGAGGAGTCTGTGTGAATCGGGCCATCATGGTCGAATTGCTGCAAAGAAACCACTACTAAAGGACACCAATAAGAAGAAGAGACTTGCTTGGTCCAAGAAACACGAGCAATGGACATTAGACCGGTGGAAATGTGTCCTTTGGCCTGGAGTCCAAATTGGAGATTTTTGGTTCCAACCGCCGTGTCTATGTGAGACGCGGTGTGGGTGAACGGATGATCTCTGCATGTGTAGTTCCCACCGTAAAGCATGGAGGAGGAGGTGTTATGGTGTGGGGGTGCTTTGCTGGTGTCTGTAATTTATTTAGAATTCAAGGCACACTTAACCAGCATGGCTACCACAGCATTCTGCAGCGATACACCATCCCATCTGGTTTGGGCTTAGTGGGACTATCATTTGTTTTTCAACAGGACAATGACCCAACACACCTCCAGGCTGTGTAAGGGCTATTTTACCAAGAAGGAGAGTGGTGGAGTGCTGCATCAGATGACATGGCCTCCACAATCCCCCGACCTCAACCAAATTGAGATGGTTTGGGATGAGTCAAAGGAAAAGCAGCCAACAAGTGCTCAGCACATGTGGGAAATCCTTCAAGACTGTTGGAAAAGCATTCCAGGTGAAGCTGGTTGAGAGAATGCCAAGAGTGTGCAAAGCTGTCATCAAGGCAAAGGGTGGCTATTTGAAGAATCTCAAATATAAAATATATTTTGATTTGTGTAACACTTCTTCGGTTAGTACATGATTCCATATGTGTTATTTCAGAGTTTTGATGTCTTCACTATTATTGTACAGTGTAGAAAATAGTAAAAATAAAGAAAAACTCTTGACTGGTAGTTGTCACGTCTCCTCCAGTTGCTCCCCTCAGGCGCTCTGATTCACCGGTCTACTGAGCGCACCTCCTCGGCAACACTGGAATGGAAACCCAACGCACCCTAATCACCTCCAGCGCACCTGCACCTCATCATCTCATAACCACCCCTATTTAGCCCTGGACTTTTCTGGATGATGTTGTGTGTGATTGTTAGCTTCGTGTCGTTTACGCTATCTTTCTTAGTTCTCTTTCTCATTGTTAAGTAAACCTTGACCTTGTTAATTCCTGCGTCTGCGTCATGCCTCTTCATATACTCAGTACGCGGCACAGTAGTGTATATTTATCCTTTTTTTTTTTTTTTTTAACTACTTGCACATGGTTACAACACTGTACATAGCCAATAATATGACATTTGAAATGTCTCTATTCTTTAAAACCTTTGTGAGTGTCATGTTTACTGTTCATTGCCCTTGTTTATTTCCCTTTAGTTTATTATCTATTTCACTATATTTGGTAATGTAAACATGTGTTTCCCATGCCAATTAAGCCCTTTGAATTGAAATTGAATTGAGAGAGAGAGGCAGCGAGAGAGATGTGTGTGTGTGTGTGTGCTGCATAGTGGGGGACAAATCCCTGCAAAAGAGATCTTATCTCATTCAGCTGTGTGTGTGTGTGTGTGACTGAGCGGGGTGTACAGAACTGTCAGGATATCAGGTCACCCCTTCACTGTGGTTTTGCTGTCAGCTGTTCTCTGTATGACAAACTCTGTAGATGGTGTGTGTGAGTGTGTCTGTGTGTGTGTGTGTGTCAAGAGTGAGGTGCCGCGTTAATCCTGGAGGCCATGAGTGTTGACAGAGAGATGTGTGTCAGGGGTGGAGGCTGTGAGCAGTGTGGTTTAGAGGGGAGATTAGAATAATGCACTTTATTATTTAATCTGTTAACTACACCTGGAATCTAACTGTGTGTGTGTGTGTGTGTGTGTGTGTGTTTCCAGCTAGGGCTGTGTATCAGCAGAGCGTCTGCCTCAGTGCTCAATCTGAACTGCAGTCTGGTGCTGCTGCCTATGTGTCGCTCTTTACTCACCTACCTCAGAGGAACACACACGGTACGGAGAGAAGGGGAATGTGTCTGTGTGTGTGTGTGTGTGCTCTGTAGTCTGGTAACGGCTGTCTGGAATGGGCAGAGAGGACTGTGGACTGTAGTGAGGGTTTTGATATGTCTGAAGGCTCTGCACTGACACTGTCTGTCCTCCCCCTCCCATACACACACACCCCTCCAGGTGACAAGCAGAAAGGCCCGCAGGCTTCTGGACAAGAGTAAGACCTTTCATGTGGCGTGTGGAGTAGCCATTTGTGTATTTTCCGGTAAGTGTGTGTTTTTGTGTGTGTGTTGTGTTGAGCGTTAGTGTGTGTCGAGAGATGGTGTGGGGAAATTGACCCAGCCCGCTGGGCACAGAAGTCAGTTCATTTGGTTGAGTTGTCAAATAACATGCATTCAACGTTATTTAGGTGAAAAAAAAAATGAAATTCCCTTAAGTTGATGACTGTGGCGGTTGCTGAGGGGAGGACGGCTCATAATAATGACTGGAACGGAGCAAATGGAATGGCATCATACACATGGAAACCATGGAAACCATGTGTTTGATGTATTTTACACCATTCCACTAATTCCACTCCAGCCATTACCATGAGCCTGTTCTCCCCAATTAAGGTGCTACTAACCTCATGTGGTTCATTACTTTTTTTCAAATCCAATCAGCTTTCCACGTTGATTCAATGTCATCACATTGCATTTTTTGGTTGAAATGATGTGGAAACAACAGTTTTTGCCCAGAGGTAGGCTGGTTCTTCTGCATTTCAGGGGAACCAGCTGTGATGGATCACGAGCTGGCAAGGGTTGTGAGAGAAAGAGAGAGAGAGACTTTGGCTGGATGTGATGGTGTCTGATGGAGGTGTGTGTATGTGTGAGTATGTGTGTGTGTGTGTATGTGTGTGTGTGTGTGTGTGTGTGTGTGTGTGACCTGATGGTGGTATGGGCAATTCCACGGTGGTAATGGAATTGCTGTAAAATCTCCCTCAGGTTTTTATGCGACCACGTTTTAGAAAAACAAAAAATCTGTTACGAATTAAGATTCAAAGATGTCTGCAGAAAGAATGGGATGTCAGCTATGACATGGCACCTTGAGTTTGAAAAAATCTCTTTTGGTTACTGAACTACAGTAAGTGAAGTGGATTTACAGCCATAGAGGGACATAGAGCTGTGTGTGTGTGTGAGATAATGCGTGAGAGAGGGACACACACAGCTGCCTCACTGACGTCATTGGGAGCTGGTTTCTCCCCCGGTCTCCCTCAAACCAAGTCTCCTTCCTCTCTCTTAACCCTCTCTCTTCCCCCCCCCCCCCCCCCCCCCCCCCCCCCCCCCCCCACCCCCCCCCCCCCCCCCCCACCCCTCCCGCTCCCTCACCCCCAGGCTGTTTCCTGGCTGTGGAAATGTAATGTTCTAATTGCAGAGTTCCAAACTTCTGACACAACCAATTACACCAAGAGAACAATGGAGAAAGAGGAGGCAGGGGGAAGAAATTATAATTGAACGTGAATAGAGAGAGAGAGAGAGAGAGAGAGAGAGAGAGAGGGGAGGAGGAGAGAGCGATAACTACCCCCTGTCTCTGTCAGCTGTTGGGGAGATGCATGTTTAAGCCATGATGTCAGAGAGATAAGTGTGTGTGTGTGTGTCGCTCAGTGACTCAGGAAGATGTATGCTGAATAGACAAAGAGATGTGTGTGTCTGTGTGTGTGAGTCGCTCAGTGACTCAGTGAGGATGTATAGTTGAGTAGGGCTGTGAAATTCCAGGGACTTCACTATACAATATTATCATGATAATTAGGTGCCAATACAATATGTATTTCGATTCTATACTGAACAAAAATGTAAACGCAACAGTTTCAAAGATTTTACTGAGGTACACTTCATATGAGGAAATCAGTCAATTGAAATTAATTAATTAGGCCCTAATCTATGGATTTACATTGTAGTCATTTAGCAGACGCTCTTATCCAGAGCGACTTACAGTAGTGAGTACATACATTTTCATTCGTGCTGGTCCCCCGTGGGAATCAAACCCACAACACTGGCGTTGCAAGTGCCATGCTCGACCAACTGAGCCACATGGGAACATGGGATTTCACATGACTGGGAATACAGATATGCATCTGTTGGTCATAGATACCTTTAAAAAAATGGGCCGCACAATGGGCCTCAGGAACTCGTCATGGTATTTTTGGGCATTCAAATTGCCATCGATAAAATGCAATTGTGTTCGTTGTCTGTAGTTTATGCCTGCCCATACCATAACCCCACCGCCACCATGGGACACTCTGTTCACAACATTGACATCAGCAAACCACTCACATATACACATGGTCTGCGGTTTTGAGGCCGGTTGGACATAGTGCCAGATTCTTTAAAACAACGATGGAAGTGGCTTATGGTAGAGAACTGAACATTCAATTATCTGGCAACAGCTCTGGTGGACATTCCTACAGTCAGCATGCCAATTGCACACTCCCTCAAAACTTGAGACATCTGTGGCATTGTGTTGTGTAACAAAACTGCACATTTTAAAGTGGCATTTTATTGTCCACAGCACAAGGTGCACCTGTGTAATGATCATGCTGTTTAATCAGCTTCTTGATATGCCACACGTGTCAGGTGGATGGATTATCTTGGCAAATGAGAAATGCTCACTAACAGGGATGTAAACAAATTTGGGCACCAAAATTTAGAGAAATTTGGTTTTTGTGCGAATGGAAAATGTCTTGGATCTTTTATTTCAGCTCATGAAACATGGGACCAACACTTTACATGTTGTGTTTATATTGTTGTTCAGTGTAGTAATATATGTTACATTTTGTATGGTATGTATTAATTTGTGGGTCCATCATCCATTTCGTATGATATGTTATGAATTACAATTTGTATGACATGTTACAGATTGAAATTGGTACATACAGTGGGGAAAAAAGTATTTAGTCAGCCACCAATTGTGCAAGTTCTCCCACTTAAAAAGATGAGAGAGGCCTGTAATTTTCATCATAGGTACACGTCAACTATGACAGACAAATTGAGGAAAAAAAATCCAGAAAATCACATTGTAGGATTTTTAATGAATTTATTTGCAAATGATGGTGGAAAATAAGTATTTGGTCACCTACAAACAAGCAAGATTTCTGGCTCTCACAGACCTGTAACTTCTTCTTTAAGAGGCTCCTCTGTCCTCCACTCGTTACCTGTATTAATGGCACCTGTTTGAACTTGTTATCAGTATAAAAGACACCTGTCCACAACCTCAAACAGTCACACTCCAAACTCCACTATGGCCAAGACCAAAGAGCTGTCAAAGGACACCAGAAACAAAATTGTAGACCTGCACCAGGCTGGGAAGACTGAATCTGCAATAGGTAAGCAGCTTGGTTTGAAGAAATCAACTGTGGGAGCAATTATTAGGAAATGGAAGACATACAAGACCACTGATAATCTCCCTCGATCTGGGGCTCCACGCAAGATCTCACCCTGTGGGGTCAAAATGATCACAAGAACGGTGAGCAAAAATCCCAGAACCACACGGGGGGACCTAGTGAATGACCTGCAGAGAGCTGGGACCAAAGTAACAAAGCCTACCATCAGTAACACACTACGCCGCCAGGGACTCAAATCCTGCAGTGCCAGACGTGTCCCCCTGCTTAAGCCAGTTCATGTCCAGGCCCGTCTGAAGATTGCTAGAGTGCAGTTGGATGATCCAGAAGAGGATTGGGAGAATGTCATATGGTCAGATGAAACCAAAATATAACTTTTTGGTAAAAACTCAACTCGTCGTGTTTGGAGGACAAAGAATGCTGAGTTGCATCCAAAGAACACCATACCTACTGTGAAGCATGGGGGTGGAAACATCATGCTTTGGGGCTGTTTTTCTGCAAAGGGACCAGGACGACTGATCCGTGTAAAGGAAAGAATGAATGGGGCCATGTATCGTGAGATTTTGAGTGAAAACCTCCTTCCATCAGCAAGGGCATTGAAGATGAAACGTGGCTGGGTCTTTCAGCATGACAATGATCCCAAACACACCGCCCGGGCAACGAAGGAGTGGCTTCGTAAGAAGCATTTCAAGGTCCTGGAGTGGCCTAGCCAGTCTCCAGATCTCAACCCCATAGAAAATCTTTGGAGGGAGTTGAAAGTCCGTGTTGCCCAGCGACAGCCCCAAAACATCACTGCTCTAGAGGAGATCTACATGGAGGAATGGGCCAAAATACCAGCAACAGTGTGTGAAAACCTTGTGAAGACTTACAGAAAACGTTTGACCTGTGTCATTGCCAACAAAGGGTATATAACAAAGTATTGAGTAACTTTTGTTATCGACCAAATACTTGTTTTCCACCATAATTTGCAAATAAATTCATAAAAAATCCTACAATGTGATTTTCTGGATTTTTTTTCCTCATTTTGTCTGTCATAGTTGACGTGTACCTATGATGGAAATTACAGGCCTCTCTCATCTTTTTAAGTGGGAGAACTTGCACAATTGGTGGTTGACTAAATACTTTTTTCCCCCACTGTATATTACAAATTGCAATTCATACAATATGTTACGAATTTGCAAAACGGATGATAAGTTACACATTCCAATTTGTTGTGGCTAACGTTAGCTTGGTGGCTATGTGGCTAACACTAACGTTAGTTAGGTGACTAATATTAGCTAGGCTAGTGGTTAGGGGTTAAGGTTAGGGTTAAGGTTAAGGGGTTAGAGTTAGGTTAAAAGGTTAAAGGGTTAAGGTTATATATCTGCTGCAGAGAGAGCATGAGAAAATGAATTTTGATCAGTCATGGAAAGAAAAGGGCTGAAACATGTTGGCTCACTATTTAAAAAGAAGATGGAGAACAAGCTAACACTACCTAGCAAAAACAAAGTCAAAGTATCGATATCATATTGTCCAAAATAATATTGTGAAATGTAACTGTATCGATTTCTCCCCCATCGCTATTGCTGTGTGCTGAATAGAGAAAGAGATGTGCGTATGAGGGTGAGTTTTGCTCTGTTGTAACCCAGTGTTGTGATGTGTTCTTTAGTTGTGCACGTATCGGCTCATCTGGCCAACGTGGTCAACTTCAGCATCAGATACTCAGAAGAGTTCCCTTCTCTCAACGTTGCTCGCTACAGGGGAGAGGTAAGATGTGCACGCACGCAGACACACACATGCGCACACACTCACACAGACACACACACACACACACACACACAACCTGTGTTAACCTGTGGTTGTCTTCCCCAGGACCCCAGACTCATCATTCTGACTACAGGTGAGTCTGCCGGGGTTCTCATATAATAAACTGGGCTGTTTCACAGGCGGGTTGCCTAGCCGAAGGGCATGTACAGCATTTTGGTCTTGGTTCCAAATGTTTCCAGGGTAACCATAAACTCATGAATGTGTTTGAGATTAGGGTGGCGGTATGCCAAGAAGAGAGGGGGTTTCTGTCAGTACTAGACACCACACACACACACACACACACACACACACACACACACACACACACACACACACACACACACACACACTTAAAAAGTTCAAACTTTATTTATTTATCCCTAGCCACTTCCTAGTAGTCTAGTCCAGTCTGAAAACATTCCCTATCCTCCTCCTGGTAGTCTAGTCCAGTCTGAAAACATTCCCTATCCTCCTCCTGGTAGTCTAGTCCAGTCTGAAAACATTCCCTATCCTCCTCCTGGTAGTCTAGTCCAGTCTGAAAACTTTCCCTATCCTCCTCCTGGTAGTCTAGTCCAGTCTGAAAACCTTCCCTATCCTCTTCCTGGTAGTCTAGTCCAGTCTGAAAACCTTCCCTATCCTCTTCCTGGTAGTCTAGTCCAGTCTGAAAACCTTCCCTATCCTCCTCCTGGTAGTCTAGTCCAGTCTGAAAACCTTCCCTATCCCCTTCCCCAACTATCTAACACTATGAATAATGATATCATCACTGTCTTGTCTTTGTTCACTAATCGGTTATTAATGATAGGAATCTGTCTCTGTTCTCTGATTGGTTAATTATATTATGACTCTGTCTCTTTGTTCACTGATTGATTATTAATGTTATAACTCTGTCTCTTTGTTCTCTGATTGGTTAATAATCTTATGACTCTGTCTCTCTGTTCTCTGATTGGTGGATGTGCTTTAGTCCCGGGGATCACTGGTATCCTATTGGTCCTCATCCTCTTTCTGATGTTCACTGCCTCTTCCTACTGCATCAGGTAAAGCGCTTAACATCATCATCATCTTCAACACAGACCATCTCATGGCTGTGGTGTGTGTGTGTGTGTGTGTGATAGGCTAGTAGTTAAGAGCATTGGGCCAGTAACCAAAGATTGCTGGTTCGAATCCCCAAGCCAACTAGGTGAAACATTTGTCGATGTGCCCTTGAGCAAGGCACTTAACCCTAATTGCTCCTCTAAGTCGCTCTGGATAAGAGTGTCTGCTAAATTACTTACATGTGTGTCTGTCAGTCTTAGATGTCCAGGATAAGGGGACCAACTAACTTTGTGGACAGAACTCTGTCATTACTGAGGTCACAGGGGGCAGCAAGGAGAGGTCCTGGGCTTTGATTTAGACTGGGTCCTTATTGTGGTGTTCTCTGCCTTGCCTGTTGTAATTTAATGCAGGATCAGAGGCATGTCCACTCAGGCCTTAGGCCAGCACCTGTGTGTGTGTATAGATGGGGTGGGTGTTAGTCCCAATATTGTAGGGAGACACTGATGTTCAAAGGGTAATGTGGTTGTGTGTGTGTTCAGAGCGTTCTAGGAGGGTGACTGCGTTTCAAGTGTTGTTTGGTGTAAGTGGTGTTTGTTGGGGGTCGTTGTCTGTAATGACCTTGCTAATTGTGACAGCCCTACTCATGCGCGCACACACACACACACACACACACACACACACACACACACACACACACACACACACACACACACACACACACACACACACACACACTGTCCTGCCCTCCTCTGGCTAAAGAGACCCTGTGAGTTAAAAGGCGTGGCTCCTCATGTCCTCAGTTATGCTCTGACCTGTCTCTCTCTCTCTCTTCTCCTGGATTCTTTCTCTCTCTTTTTGTCTGCTTTTCTCCTCCACTCGTATCTTCCTGTCATTCCACAGCACTCCCTAAAATAGTTTTTCTGCTGAAAATGTGAAAATATGCAGTTGTGGACCTTGTGGTAATCTCATGTATGAAGATATGCGGTGATGTTAATAAGACCTTACGGTAATCTCATATATCATGATATCATCATGTTTGTGGAATGTCCTCTGTGTTTCAGGGTGTCCAACTATGAGATATTCTGGTACACCCACAACCTCTTCATAGTGTTCTACATCATACTGATGGTGCATGTGGTCGGGTAAGTTAACTTATCACCTTTGGTATGGGGCTGTGTCTGATTAAAGGTGTCAGCATGCTTCAGTTCGGCTGCCGCCTAGCAGAACTCGGCTAGCCGAACCAAACAAGTTTATTCACATACTCCCTTAAAAGACATTCGCTTGAAAAACAAGAAAAAAGTGCCTATAGTACTGTTTGTCCATCTTGAGACACTGTAGCCAGTATATACTAAGATCTAACTAAGATGTTTGGTGCAGTATTTCGCAATGAAAACATTTGCATGAAAACGAGTTGTCTCTTGCTGAATGACAAATACTTTATTGAAGAATCCCTACTCTTGACCAATCACTGACGAAGGGGCATGGACTTCGGCTCCGAACTTCAGGTTGCCTCTAGAAACATTTTTGTGTGCCCGAACAGCCGGAATAAAAATGAACAAACATTTCACAAAATATGCACAAACTCTTCCGAACTGTTTTGGCTGGGAAGCATGCGGACGCCTTGATTAAGGGGTCAGTCATGACTGAGTAGTACTATCAGTATGTTTTCATAGTGTTGGATACAGAGAGGTATAGAATGCATTTTAATGGCATTACTATCATACTATTGCATCAGTCCAGACAGAGCTGACGTTGAGCTGTCCCCATCATACTAACACACTGACCCATTCACTTTGTTACTCAACTCTACTGCCCCAGGTTAACACACACCCACGCATGCATGCACATGCACCTGCACATGTAGACCATTTAGAATCTTCAGAGCTGGAATGTTGTATTCTTCTTCATCATCATCATCATTTCTCACTCTTTCTCGTCCAATAGTGGTGCTCTGAAGTACCAGACCAACTTCGAGGCCCACCCCCCTGGCTGTCTCAGAGCCAATCAGACTAACCCGGACAGGACAGAGGAGGAGTCAGGACAGGATGGAGGAGATGGATGGAGCTGCAGGGAGGAGGCTCGGTTCCAACCCAACTCACCCTGAGGTGTGTGCGTCTGTGTTTGTGTGTGTGTGTGTGGGGGGGGGTGGGGTGGGGGGGGGGGGGGGGGGGGGGAGTGGATAGGAGTGTAGGGGGGATGGGGGTGGGTGGGGTGTAGGTGTAGTGGGAGGGGGGGGGTGTGGTGAGTGGGGGGTGTAGGTAGGTGGGGGTTGGGGGTGGGGTCGGTGGTAGGGGGTAGGGGGATGGGTGTAGGGTGGAGTGGTAGGGGTGTAGGGGAGGATGGGGGGTGGGTGGGTGGTAGGGTGTGGGGGTGGAGGTGGGGTGTGTTGTTGGGGTGCTCGGGGTGTGGTGGCGATGGGTGGTGGGGGGTTGGTGGGTGGTGGGAGGTGGGGGGTGGGTTGGAGTGTGGGGTTGGGGTGTGGTGAGGGGGGATGATGGGGGGTGGGTGGTAGGTGGGTGATAGGGGTGAGTGGGGGGTGAGGTGGTAGGTGGGTGGGTAGGGGAGGTTGGGGGGTCAGTTGGGGTGGAGTGAGGGGGTGTAGGGGGAGGAGTGGGGTGGTGAGGGTGGGTGTGGAGGGGTGGTGGCGGGGTGGGGGGTGAGGTGGGTGGGTGGTAGGGGGGGTGTGGGGGGATGGGGGGGTGGGTGGAGGTGGGGTTGGGTGTAGGGGAGGATGGGGGGTGGGAGGTGGAGTGGTAGGGGTGTGGGGAGGATGGGGGGTGGGTGGAGGGTGGAGGGGTGTGGTGGGGGGTGGGGGGTGGGGGGGGTGGTAGGTTGGGGAGGATGGGGGGGTGGTGGTGGTGGGTAGGGGTGTAGGGGAGGATGGGGGGTGAGGTGGAGTGGTAGGGGTGTAGGGGAGGATGGGGGGTGAGGTGGAGTGGTAGGGGTGTAGGGGAGGATGGGGGGTGAGGTGGAGTGGTAGGGGTGTAGGGGAGGGGTGAAGGCCTCTGTGTGCACATGCTTGTTAAGTGCCAGTGTTATCTCATAATATCAAATCTCCTCTGGACTGGCCTCTCCATGGCTGGGACTAATTAGTGTGTGTGTGTAGACCTGGCTGTGGGTGTCTGGTCCTCTGTGTCTCTACTGCGCTGAGAGGCTGTATCGCTACATTCGGAGCAACTCCCCCGTCACCATAGTTGCTGTCGTCAGGCATCCCTGTGATGTCATCGAGCTGCGCATGCTGAAGAAGGACTTTAAAGCCCACCCAGGACAAGTGAGTGACAGGTAGAGTTACTATAGGAACCACACTGTGGCATGGCTCTGGACTAAGTTAGCAGTAAGGTAACACTTACTCTGCCATATTATTTACACCTCAACCAAAGTAGCAGAAAGGTAGTCATTTCTGCAATATTACTTACCTGAGATCTGTAGGAAGTCTCAAGTATGGAGATAGATTTCAATTTTTTATTTTTTAATATATAAGTAGTGAGTCACAAACAAAATAAGTGTTGTGCAAATATAGAATGCAACTTTTAAATACAAATCACAGTCTGTGAATATGCCCATATAGTTTCAAATACATAGAAATCTATCTCCATATTCAAGGGTTTGGGGCAAGGGAATGGCTTGGAATCTGGCAGTAGTCATGAGTAGAACAACTGTATAAAGTTTCAGAATTGATTTTTTTCTCTGTCTATTTCTCCCTCCATCTTTTCTCCCTCTCCCCCTTTCTTTCTCAGTACATTGTACTAAACTGTCCCAGTGTGTCATCATTTGAAAATCATCCCTTCACTCTGACTGCGGTAAGTTGGTCCAGTTGGTTTTTCTCACAAATCAAACAAGAAATGTGCAGATCGAAGTCTGTTGAACAGTTAAAGGAGGCTTCCTCACACACAGTGGTATCAATTCCCCATGCTTTCTCTCCACATACCTCAAACATGACACACTACTCACATCTAAAGGCACGTGCAACAACCTAACTTTTTACCCCCTGGTACACGTGAAGTTCTTTCTCTCTCTCTGAGGCCCCTCGGCTCCAGTTCTCTCATTGATGTGGAGGCAGGGGGGTTAGGGTTAGGGTTAGGGTTAGGCAGGTAGATTGGCAGTTGACACTTCAAATCCCTCACACATCATCTACAGTTCTTTATCAATTTGCCAGAAATAACATTCTTGTTCTGGAATAAGAGACAAACCAAGGGGGCCTTACTTCAGGAACCTGATCCCCTCCTTTTTAACATTCACGCACGCACAGACAAGCGCGTGCATGTACACACATCATATACACAGACACACACACACACACACACAAGCACACACACACACACAATGTACATGCACACTGCTTTCCTGTTGGCAGACAATGTTACTGCCCTCAGGGGTCTGTCTGCTCTTTGTCAGTGATTCTGTACCCTGCTACAACCCCCCATAAAACACCAGGCCGAGGCACGCTTTGTCTGTGTGTGTGTGTGTGTGTGTGTGTGTGTGAATGTGAATGACTCATTGTCTGTGCTCTTGCTTGCAGTGTCCCACGGAGAAGAAAGAAACATTAGGAATACATCTCAGAGTGGTGGGAGACTGGACTGGTGAGTGAACAACACAGCACAACACAGTGGATCTCCCGCACATCCTCCCTAAGCTCCAGGGACAGCCTGCACCATCTCAGAAATGACAGAATTGCGGGGGAGATTTGTTTTATCCCCCTTCTAATCCTTGCTTGGGAGAATCCATTTCCGAAGGCTTCCGTAGGCTGAGGGCTAACATGGCTCCAGCAGTGTTAGTGCAGGGTTCTGACAGTGTTAGTGCAGGGTTCTCAGGGCTAACATGGCTCCAGCAGTGTTCGTGCAGGGTTCTGACAGTGTTAGTGCAGGGTTCTGAGGGCTAACATGGTTCCAGCAGTGTTAGGGCAGGGTTCTGAAGGCTAACATGGCTCCAGCAGTGTTAGTGCAGGGTTCTGAGGGCTAAAATGGCTCCAGCAGTGTTAGTGCAGGGTTCTGAGGGCTAAAATGGCTCCAGCAGTGTTAGTGCAGGGTTCTGAGGGCTAAAATGGCTCCAGCAGTGTTAGTGCAGGGTTCTGAGGGCTAACATGGTTCCAGCAGTGTTAGGGCAGGGTTCTGAGGGCTAACGTGGTTCCAGCAGTGTTAGTGGAGGGTTCTGAGGGCTAACATGGCCCCAGCAATGTTAGTGCAGGGTTCTGAGGGCTAACATGGTTCCAGCAGTGTTAGGGCAGGGTTCTGAGGGCTAACATGGTTCCAGCAGTGTTAGGGCAGGGTTCTGAGGGCTAACATGGTTCCAGCAGTGTTAGTGCAGGGTTCTGAGGGCTAACATGGTTCCAGCAGTGTTATGGCATGGTTAGGAAACCCCCTGTTCTCTGTAGCGGCGGCTGCTTTTCTCTTCTCTCTCTGTTATAGACTAGTCAGCACAGCAACAGGTGGTGATATTTCAACTGAAAAGTTTACTTTTATTAAGTCCACACAAACACATAGTAAAGCGGTGATGTGCAGAGGACCTGAATATCTTTATTGGTTTAACAGATGCCTCTCACAATCAAGGAAACAAAAAAGGCTGTTTTCATGATGTTATGCTGTAGGGATGCATCAAATAACGCCTATTAAGCCTAAGAAGACAAACCGAACCACAACCCCAAACAAGCTACAGTACAGCCAGTCCTACCACAACCCCAAACAAGCTACAGGACAGCCAGTCCTACCACAACCCCAAACAAGCTACAGGACAGCCAGTCCTACCACAACCCCAAACAAGCTACAGGACAGCCAGTCCTACCACAACCCCAAACAAGCTACAGTACAGCCAGTCCTACCACAACCCCAAACAAGCTACAGGACAGCCAGTCCTACCACAACCCCAAACAAGCTACAGTACAGCCAGTCCTACCACAACCCCAAACAAGCTACAGGACAGCCAGTCCTACCACAACCCCAAACAAGCTACAGGACAGCCAGTCCTACCACAACCCCAAACAAGCTACAGTACAGCCAGTCCTACCACAACCCCAAACAAGCTACAGGACAGCCAGTCCTACCACAACCCCAAACAAGCTACAGGACAGCCAGTCCTACCACAACCCCAAACAAGCTACAGGACAGCCAGTCCTACCACAACCCCAAACAAGCTACAGTACAGCCAGTCCTACCACAACCCCAAACAAGCTACAGGACAGCCAGTCCTACCACAACCCCAAACAAGCTACAGGACAGCCAGTCCTACCACAACCCCAAACAAGCTACAGGACAGCCAGTCCTACCACAACCCCAAACAAGCTACAGTACAGCCAGTCCTACCACAACCCCAAACAAGCTACAGGACAGCCAGTCCTACCACAACCCCAAACAAGCTACAGGACAGCCAGTCCTACCACAACCCCAAACAAGCTACAGGACAGCCAGTCCTACCACAACCCCAAACAAGCTACAGTACAGCCAGTCCTACCATAACCCCAAACAAGCTACAGGACAGCCAGTCCTACCACAACCCCAAACAAGCTACAGTACAGCCAGTCCTACCACAACCCCAAACAAGCTACAGGACAGCCAGTCCTACCACCACCCCAAACAAGCTACAGGACAGCCAGTCCTACCACAACCCCAAACAAGCTACAGTACAGCCAGTCCTACCACAACCCCAAACAAGCTACAGGACAGCCAGTCCTACCACATCCCCAAACAAGCTACAGTACAGCCAGTCCTACCACGACCCCAAACAAGCTACAGGACAGCCAGTCCTACCACAACCCCAAACAAGCTACAGTACAGCCAGTCCTACCACAACCCCAAACAAGCTACAGGACAGCCAGTCCTACCACGACCCCAAACAAGCTACAGGACAGCCAGTCCTACCACAACCCCAAACAAGCTACAGTACAGCCAGTCCTACCACAACCCCAAACAAGCTACAGTACAGCCAGTCCTACCACAACCCCAAACAAGCTACAGGACAGCCAGTCCTACCACAACCCCAAACAAGCTACAGTACAGCCAGTCCTACCACAACCCCAAACAAGCTACAGGACAGCCAGTCCTACCACAACCCCAAACAAGCTACAGTACAGCCAGTCCTACCACAACCCCAAACAAGCTACAGGACAGCCAGTCCTACCACAACCCCAAACAAGCTACAGTACAGCCAGTCCTACCACAACCCCAAACAAGCTACAGTACAGCCAGTCCTACCACAACCCCAAACAAGCTACAGTACAGCCAGTCAATGTGCTGTTTCTTCTCTCCTCTTGTCTCTCTGTTCTCCCCCTCTCATCTCATGCCTTGTCCTGTCTGTTCTCCTTTATTTTCTTCACTCTCCTCCTCCATCTGTTTTCTTTTTGTCTCATCCCTCTCTCCTCTCTTATTCAGAACGTTTTACGGAGTTGTTGCTTCCTGAGCCGGGAGCCGAGTCAGAGATCCTACCCATGGTGCAACAGAGGAGATACCCAAAGTAGGTTTGACCCTGTGAGTGTGCGTGAGTGCGTACACTCTTAGAAAAAAAAGGTGCTATCTAGAACCTAAAAGGGTTCTTCGGCTGTCTCCATAGGAGAACCCGTTGCAGAACCCTTTTTGGTTCCATGTAGAACTCTTTTGGTTCCAGTTATAATCATTTTGGGGCCTATGTCGAACCCTTTCCACAGAGGGTCCTACATGGAACCCAAAAGGATTCTACCTGGAACCAAACATAGTTATCCTATGGGGACAGCTGAAGAACCCTTATGGAACACTTTTTTCTAAGAGTGTACAGTCGTGGTCAAAAGTTTTGAGAATGACACAAGTATTGGTCTTCACAAAGTTTGCTGATTCAGTGTTTTTAGATATTTTTGTCAGATGTTACTATGGTATACTGAAGTATAATTACAAGCATTCCATAAGTGTCAAAGGCTTTTATTGACAATTACATTACGTTTATGCAGAGAGTCAATATTTGCAGTGTTGACCCTTCTTTTTCAAGACCTCTGCAATCCGCCCTGGGATGCTGTTAATTAACTTCTGGGCCACATCCTGACTGATGGCAGCCCATTCTTGCATAATCAATGCTTGGAGTTTGTCAGAATTTGTGGGTTTTTGTTTGTCCACCCGCCTCTTGAGGATTGACCACACGTTCTCAATGGGATTAAGGTCTGGGGAGTTTCCTGGCCATGGACCCAAAATGTTGATGTTTTGTTCCCCGAGCCACTTAGTTATCACTTTTGCCTTACGACAAGGTGCTCCATCATGCTGGAAAAGGCATTGTTCGTCACCAAACTGTTCTTGGATGGTTGGGAGAAGTTGCTCTCGGAGGATGTGTTGGTACCATTCTTTATTCATGGCTGTGTTCTTAGGCAAAATTGTGAGTGAGCCCACTCCCTTGGCTGAGAAGCAACCCCACACATGAATGGTCTCAGGATGCTTTACTGTTGTCATGACACAGGACTGATGGTAGCGCTCACCTTGTCTTCTCCGGACAAGCTTTTTTCCGGATGCCCCAAACAATCGGAAAGGGGATTCATCAGAGAAAATGACTCAGCAGTCCAATCCCTGTACCTTTTGCAGAATATCAGTCTGTCCCTGATGTTTTTCCTGGAGAGAAGTGGCTTCCTCGCTGCCCTTCTTGACACCAGGCCATCCTCCAAAAGTCTTCGCCTCACTGTGCGTGCAGATGCACTCACACCTGCCTGCTGCCATTCCTGAGCAAGTTCTGCACTGGCGGTGCCCCGATCCCGCAGCTGAATCAACTTTAGGAGACGGCCCTGGCGCTTGCTGGTCTTTCTTGGGTGCCCTGAAGCCTTCTTCACAACAATTGAACCTCTCTCCTTGAAGTTCTTGATGATCCAATATATGGTTGATTTAGGTGCAATCTTACTAGCAGCAATATCCTTGCCTGTGAAGCCCTTTTTGTGCAAAGCAATGATGACGGCACGTGTTTCCTTGCAGGTAACCATGGTTAACAGAGAAAGAACAATGATTTCAAGCACCACCCTCCTTTTAAAGCTTCCAGTCTGTTATTCTAACTCAATCAGCATGACAGAGTGATCTCCAGCCTTGTCCTCATCAACACTCTCACCTGTGTTAACGAGAGAATCATTGACATGATGGCAGCTGGTCCTTTTGTGGCAGGGCTGAAATGCAGTGGAAATGTTCTTTTGGGGATTAAGTTCATTTTCATGGCAAAGAGGGACTTTGCAATTAATTGCAATTCATCTGATCACTCTTCATAACATTCTGGAGTATATGCAAATTGCCATCATAAAAACTGAGGCAACAGACTTTGTGAAAATTAATATTTGTGTCATTCTCAAAACTTTTGACCACGACTGTAGGTGTGTGTGTGTGGTAGTAGTAGTAGTATAGTTTGCTAGTAGGACTTGGTCAGTCAGTGTGAACTCAGGGGGCGTCAGCTTTGAGAGAGAGAGAGAGGTCACAATTCAGAGGGTCAGAGGGGGATGGGGATAGAGGGACTCAATCTAGGAACACACAGTCACACACACACACACACACACACACACACACACACACACACACACACACACACACACACACACACACACACACACACACACACACACACCACTGTATCTATTTGTCTTTGTCTGTCTGTGGGTAGTTGTCTCTTACCTCAGTGATACAGCTGACATGATTTCCCATGACGGCTCAGAATCACACAGAGGGCAAAGGTTATGACCCTCTGACCCCTGCCCTCACACCCTTCCTGGTGTATGTTTGTGTGCGTCTGTCAGTGTGTGTGTGTGTGTGTGTGTGAGGCTCATTGATTCTTTGTCTGTGGACTGTGCTGGCTCCGGGGATCTGAGCTTGTGATAGCAAACAACCTGGTCGAGATTGTCATGGTCACAGGTGTGTGTGTGTATGTTTGTGTATGTGTATGTGTGTGTGTGTATTTGTGTATGTGCGCGTGTGTTTTGCAGTTGCACCAGCTGGGAATCACATTGTCTTCATTCTTGTTAGGTGTTGACACAGTGAACTCTCCAAGGACTGAGTCCTAACTTGAGAAACTCAAACTGTCATGTCTAATTCAGAAAAGACCATAAGATAAACTCTCACATTCTGCTCAGAACAATTTGTGGTTTGTCATTGTGCAGACTGTGTGTGGTGTGTGACTGTATGTGTGTGTCGGTGTGAGTGACTGTGTGTGACTGTGTGTGTGTTCCGGTGTAGGGTGAAGTGTTTATGCAGCTGGTTCAGAGATGAAGGAGGGGAAATGTGTGTTCCTGTTCTCTAGAGATGAAGGAGGGGGAAATGTGTGTTCCTGTTCTCTAGAGATGAAGGAGGGGAAAATGTGTTCCTGCTCTCTAGACTGTTCTCTTGTTCTCCTCCTGTTTTTCTTTCTATCTTCTCACTCTTCCTCCCATCTCCCTCCTCTCTCTCATCTCCCATCTCAATTTCTCTCTCTCTCTCTCTCCTCTCTCTCTCCTCTCTCTCTCTCTCTCTCTCTCCTCTCTCTCCTCTCTCCCATCTCCCTCCTCTTTCCCATCTCAATTTCTCTCTCTCGCTCTCTCTATCTCTGCTGTAGGGATAGGGGGTGTTTATCAGCTCTGAGAATCCCCCCTCCATTATATTTATTTGTTTTATGGGTTATCATCCTGATCTCTCCTTCTCTCTGGCTGTGGGACTGACATGCAGGATGTTGCCTGTTTCTCCTTCTCTCTGGCTGTGGGACTGACATGCAGGATGTTGCCTGTTTCTCCTTCTCTCTGGCCGTGGGACTGACATGCAGGATGTTGCCTGTTTCTCCTTCTCTCTGGCTGTGGGACTGACATGCAGGATGTTGCCTGTTTCTCCTTCTCTCTGGCTGTGGGACTGACATGCAGGATGTTGCCTGTTTCTCCTTCTCTCTGGCCGTGGGACTGACATGCAGGATGTTGCCTGTTTCTCCTTCTCTCTGGCTGTGGGACTGACATGCAGGATGTTGCCTGTTTCTCCTTCTCTCTGGCTGTGGGACTGACATGCAGGATGTTGCCCGTTTCTCCTTCTCTCTGGCCGTGGGACTGACATGCAGGATGTTGCCTGTTTCTCCTTCTCTCTGGCAGTGGGACTGACATGCAGGATGTTGCCTGTTTCTCCTTCTCTCTGGCTGTGGGACTGACATGCAGGATGTTGCCTGTTTCTCCTTCTCTCTGGCTGTGGGACTGACATGCAGGATGTTGCCTGTTTCTCCTTCTCTCTGGCTGTGGGACTGACATGCAGGATGTTGCCTGTTTCTCCTTCTCTCTGGCTGTGGGACTGACATGCAGGATGTTGCCTGTTTGTTTATGTTTGCCTGACCTCAAAGGAAGTCATTGGCAGCCCTAGTGTGTGTTTGTAGTGTGTGTTTGTGTGTATACAGTATGTGTGTGTGTGTCCTAGTTTACGATTCATTCACTATAAATGAGGTCCTGAGAGTGTAGACCACCACAATGATTTAGGTGAACATACAAAAGCCACTTGTCTTAATGTCTAAAGTAGTGTGTTTGTGTGAGTGTGAGTGGGTGTGTAATTTGTCACTGTCTCACTATTGTTGTCCTTCCCACTATGTGTGTAGGCTGTACGTGGATGGTCCGTTCGGCAGTCCGTCACAGGAGGTGTTTAACTACGAAGTCAGTCTGTGTGTGGCGGGTGGGATCGGAGTCACGCCATTCGCCTGCATTCTGCACGCCCTGCTGTGAGTGGCTGTCTGACAAGAGATGGTTGGTTGTTGGTTTACCATTGGTGTGAATGTTTTGACATGGGCTTAATGCCCAAATTCTCACACTGTACTTTATGTGTGTGTGTGTGTGTGTGTGTGTGTGTGTGTGTGTGTATGTGTGTGTGTGGTCTGTCTCAGGGATGGCTGGAGGCATTTCCGTCTGAGGAGGCTATACTTTGTGTGGGTGTGCAGGGAGCTGCAGTCCTTCTACTGGTTCGCTGAGCTGCTGTGTGCCTTACATCACAAGGTCAGCCTGGGGACTAGGGGTCAAAAGTCTGGGTTAAATATAAGGCCAGAGGTCAGGGCTAAACATCAGGGATGGAGTAACCTAATGTAGCAGGCGTAAAAGAAACGCCTGAGACTAGATCCCCTACATACTGATGTTGACAAGAAGAAGAAAAAAAAACTGTCGGCAGAGGTTCTCTTCTGCACGGTTCAACCAATCCTGTAAATGTGGAGGAGGAGTTAACGTCCAAAAGCGGAAGTCGCTTCACAAACTCTCTTTCCATTTCCCCTGATAACCGGAACATCCGGTTGTTGGGGACTCGGCAGAGGCTGGGGTAGAGAGGTTGTATGGCACCTCCTGCCCTGAGGCCCGAGGCTGGGGTCCATCTTTTATCTTTCTCCTCTTAGTGTACTGTTTAAAAACCTGCTGGTGCTCTCCCAGAGCAGGGGCAGAGCGCCCTCTATAGGCCTGTAGTGGAGGGGCTGATATCTGGGGTTATAGCACCATCTAGTGACTGTAGTGGAGGGGCTGATATCTGGGGTTATATCACCATCTAGTGACTGTAGTGGAGGGGCTGATATCTGGGGTTATATCACCATCTAGTGACTGTAGTGGAGGGGCTGATATCTGGGGTTATATCACCATCTAGTGACTGTAGTGGAGGGGCTGATATCTGGGGTTATATCACCATCTAGTGACTGTAGTGAAGGGGCTGAAATCTGCCGTTATATCACTGTCTAGGGACTCAGTGTCTCTGTTGATGTATAGTGGGGCCCGAAATTATTGACACCCTTGATAAAGATGAGCAATAATGACTGGGTCACACTTTTTTTGGATAGTCTGGATTTGTATCAAGCTTAAAACATCAAATAAGAAACGAAATTTGCCCAAGCCTCAACAGTAAGCAAAACTTGATATCCACCAAGGTGAATTACCTGATAATAGTTTAATAATTACTAGATAATAGTGACTATTCAAGTTTTGAGCGGTAAATGGAGCCGATTTAGCACATACTTGACTTAAATTATATGATACAACTCATTTATTTGGTTACTATCAACAAACTATCTGTTGATAATCAACTGCTTGCTAAGGTTACGGTTAGGTTTAGAATAAGGGTTAGGGTTAAGTTTAGGGTTAGGATAAGGGTTAAGGTTAAGGTTAGGGTTAGGATAAGGGTTAATGTTAGGGTTAGGATAAGGATTAAGGTTAGGGTTAGGGTTAGGGTTAGGATAAGGGTTAAGGTTAGTGTTAGGGTTAGGATAAGGGTTAAGGTTAGGTTTAGGGTTAGGATAAGGGTTAGGATAAGGATTAAGGTTAGGGTTAGGATAAGGGTTAGGGTTAGGGTTAGGATAAGGATTAAGGTTAGGGTTAGGATAAGGGTTAAGGTTAGTGTTAGAGCTAGGGTTAGGGTTAGGGTTAGGGTTAAGTTTAGGGTTAGGATAAGGATAAGGGTTAGGGTTAGGGTTAGGATAAGGGTTAAGGTTAGCGTTAGAGCTAGGGTTAGGGTTAGGGTTAGGGTTAAGTTTAGGGTTAGGGTTAGGGTTAGTAGATAGGTAGTTGAAATGCTACTGTAGATAGTCTGTAGAGCATCTAGAGATGGACTATCCAGATAAAGTGTTACTGAGCTATGTTGTATGCTAAACAAATTGGGAAATTATATTATTTTGTACTAATACAATTGCTCAGAGAAAGTAATATTTTTTTTTTCAAAAAGGTAAGGGTAAAAATGATTGACATCCCTAAAGATTCTTATAAATAAAGTAGTCAAATGTTGACTATTTTGTACTACATTAATCATACATCGACATTAATGTGGATGCTACCATGATTATGGATAATCCTGAATTAATTGTTAATAATGATGAGTGAGAAGTTTCAGAGGGTCAAAGTCAAAGATCATAACCCCAAGACATGCCAACCTCTCACCATTACCAATAACAGGGGGGGTTAACATGTCTTGGGGATATGATCTTTGACCCTCTGTAACTTTCTCAATCATCATTATTCACTATTCATTCAGGATTATACATAATCGTGGTAGCATCCACATTAATGTAGAAGTGTTTAGAAACATATTCTATTCTTATTTACAATAAAAGTGACTCCAACATGACACTAGATTATTTACCATTAATTTCTATTGGGCACAAAAATAATCTGAAACACAACCTAAACGAACTGTAAATGCATCCAACAAGTTTGTAGAGTCAGAAGCATTATGTAGTCATTGCGTGCTATGAATATGGGACCAAATACTAAACTTTTGACTACTTTATTTATACAAATCTTTAGGGGTGTGAATAATTTAGACCCCTACCTTTTTTGAGGAAAAAAATGTTTACTTGCTAAACTAAATCTCTTTCTCTGTCTCTTTTTTTTAGTTGCATACAATATAGCTCAGTATTTGAATTAATTATTTTATACAGTTATTATTTCTCATCTTTATCAAGGGTGTCAATAATTTTCGGACTCCACTGGATCTGCCTATCAGGCATGTTCATATAACCTCCCCTCTCTCTCATTCTCTCTCTCTCTCTCTCACCCTCTCTCTCGCTCTCTTTCTCATTCCATCTCTCTCTCCCCCTCTCTCTCCGTCTCTCTCTCTCTCTCTCTCTCTAGCTGTGGCAGGAAAATAGACCTGACTATCTGAACCTGCAGCTCTTCGTCAGCCAGGCAGATGGACTTCAGGTGAGACTCAAAGACAACGTCAGTCAATCAGTCTGTCAATCAATCAGTCAGTCAGTCAATCAGTTAGTCTTCACTCACTCCATCCAGTCAGCCAGCCAGCCAGCCAGCCAGCCAGTAGAGGGTAGGGTACACCACAGATTGGTGAAGAGAAAATGATAGAGAGCTAGGAGATGGCTAGAGAGAGTGAAGCATGTTAACTTTCACTGTAAAATAATCACTGTTTTTTTTTTTAGCAGTTAACAATAGTTCACTGCTACCTTCAGTGTGTATGGAGGTGGAATGTATTCTTTCAATCTTTTTATTTCTCCTTTCTACAGCACTGCCGGAGAACACTCTCTTTTAAATCTCTCCCTCTCTTTAACTGTGTTCCTTTCACTCTTTCTTTCCCTTACTGCCATTCTCTCTGGCGGAGCTGAAAGGATTGTACAAAGAGATACTCAGTACTTTCACAGAGTCTTTCAGAAGGCGTTTTATTACTGCAGTCCTTTCACAGAGTCTTTCAGAAGGCGTGTTATTACTGCAGTACTTTCACAGAGTCTTTCAGAAGGCGTTTTATTACTGCAGTCCTTTCACAGAGTCTTTCAGAAGGCGTGTTATTACTGCAGTCCTTTCACAGAGTCTTTCAGAAGGCGTTTTATTACTGCAGTCCTTTCACAGAGTCTTTCAGAAGGCGTTTTATTACTGCAGTCCTTTCACAGAGTCTTTCAGAAGGCGTGTTATTACTGCAGTACTTTCACAGAGTCTTTCAGAAGGCGTTTTATTACTGCAGTCCTTTCACAGAGTCTTTCAGAAGGCGTTTTATTACTGCAGTCCTTTCACAGAGTCTTTCAGAAGGCGTTTTATTACTGCAGTCCTTTTTAATTTCACTCTGCCTCCAGCTAGCAGACACGGTGATCTTGTTCAGGGCTCACGGTTCAGAGGCATACAAGAAGTGGACTTTTAATATCACAGCCATTTAATATCATACAAACCAGTTCATGTTGCACAGTTGATGCTATTTTCCATGTAAGACTCAGGCCTGTACTCATAGAGTAGGTAAAAGTTTCCCCTAACCCCTGATGCAGGGTCAGATATGTTTTCATCCACCTAAAACCCCTTGGTTTGGGGCTAGGGTAATCTGATTCTAGATCTGGGGATAGGGTAATTTGATCCTAGATCTGAGGCTAGGGTAATTTGATCCTAGATCTGAGGCTAGGGTAATTTGATCCTCGATTTTGGGGCTAGGGTAAACTGATCCTCGATTTTAGGGCTAGTGTAATCTGATCTAGGGTAATCTGATCCTAGATCTGGGGCTAGGGTAATCTAATCCCAGATCTGAGGCTAGGGTAATCTGATCCTAGATTTTGGGGCTAGGGTCAACTGATCCTAGATTTTGGGGCTAGGGCAATCTGATCCTAGATTTTGGGGCTAGGGTAATCTGATCCTAGATTTTTGGGCTAGGGTAATCTGATCCTAGATTCTGGGGCTAGGGTAATTTGATCCTAGATCTGTGGTAAAGCGTAACTTCTACCTGGATCTCTAATAACACTAGCTCATTATAATTGTTTTGTGTTCTGTTTCCTGTCCAGAACATCTCTGAGGAGAGGTACCGCCCCCTGAGTTCCCGGCTGCTGATTGGCCGACCGAGGTGGAAGTTGCTCTTTGAGGAGATAGGGAAGACCAATAAGCAGTGAGTAAAATGTTTGGAGCGTTTAAAGACATCTTCTGATTGGATCATTTTAGGATATTGTGGTCATGTTGTATCTGTATTGTGTGTGCTCTCCTCAGTAAGCGGGTGGGGGTGTTCTGCTGTGGGCCTAAAGGCATCTCCAAGACTCTGCACAGACTGTGTAACTCAGACCGCTACTCAGGAACCACGTTTGAGTTCAACAAAGAGTCCTTCAGCTGAGACCAGCTACCCCTCACCGTGACCCCTGACCATAGGCCCTGACCCCTGACCCCAGACTCACAGAGAGACAGCTGACTTCAACCTACCAGGAAGTGACTCACTGGTTCTCCTTCCATCAGAGAGAAGCATCACTCTCACTGGTGTTGAGTGACGTCACCAGCGAACAACTGGGACTTGTTCACGAACTAAGAGAACCTGGTTGCAAGCCACCATTTTGAGAAAACACTGCCATATTGCTTGCCTCACACCAATCCAGTCCTGTCAGATGGTTTTTATTTATTTTTATTTTTATTTCACCTTTATTTAACCAGGTAAACCAGTTGAGAACAAGTTCTCATTTACAACTGCGACCTGGCCAAGATAAAGCAAAGCAGTGCGATAAAAACAACAACACAGAGTTACATATGGGGTAAAACAAAACAAAGTCAAAAATACAACAGAAATAAATATGGTGAAGAAGTGCCATGGGGTAGGGCTGAGGGGTTGATTTGGGATGGGGTTACACTCTATGTGTGGGGGGCATCAGAGCCTTGGTGCCTCAGGGCAACCCACTGCCACTCTGTAATAGTTGTCTCTGGACTACAGAGAGATGCTGTGCAACAACCTGATGTCTGTTATCACTTTCACTACCCTTTTTTCTTTCCTTCCTGTGGAATCCTTTCATCTTTAAAAACCTCTATGTATTCTAATGGAGTGAAAGCTTCAAAGCAAACTCAACCACTGCTGGTGCCAGTATTTTAGTAATTGTTTTATATTTCAATTATTTATATTGTTTAAAGTTATTAGATGTACTTTTCTATGAGAGTATTTCTGCAAGGGTTTCACCATTTCCGTATATTTCTGATGCCTCTAATGTGTCACATTTAAGACTCAACAACAAAACAGCTTTACACTTTACCAAACCATACATATTTACCATTGATTAAGTATTGAAGAAATATACAGTACCAGTCAAAAGTTTGGACACACCTACTCATTCCAGGGTTTTTCTTTCTTTATTCTTTATGACTATTTTCTACATTGTAGAATAATAGTGAATACATCAAAACTACGAAATAACACATATGGAATCATGTAGTAACCAAAAAAGTGTTAAAGAAATCAAAGTATATTTTATATTTGAGATTCTTCAAAGTAGCCACCCTTTGCCTTGATGACAGCTTTGCACACTCTTGGCATTCTCTCAACCAACTTCATGAGGTAGTCACCTGGAATGCAATTAACTGGTGGGCCTTGTTAAAAGTTAATTTGTGGTATTTCTTTCCTTCTTAATGTATTTGAGCCAATCAGTTGTGTTGTGACAAGGTAGGGTTGGTATACAGAGGATAGACCTGTTTGGTAAAAGACCAAGTCCATATTATGGCAAGAACAGCTCAAATAAGCAAAGAGAAACGACAGTCCATCATTACTTTAAGACATGAAGGTCAGTCAATCTGGAAAATGTGAAGAACTTTGAAAGTTTCTTCAAGTGCAGTCGCAAAAACCATCAAGCGCTATGATGAAACTGGCTCTCATGAGGACCACCACAGGAAAGGAAGACCCAGAGTTACCTCTGCTGCAGAGGATAAGTTCATTAGAGTTACCAGCCTCAGAAATTGCAGCACAAATAAATGCTTCACAAAGTTCAAGTAACAGACACATCTCAGCATCAACTGTTCAGAGGGGACTGTGTGAATCAGGCCTTCATGGTCGAATTGCTGCAAAGAAACTACTACTAAAGGACACCAATAAGAAGAAGAGACTTGCTTTGGCCAAGAAACACGAGCAATGGACATTAGACCGGTGGAAATCTGTGGTCTGATGAGTCCAAATGTGAGATTTTTGGTTCCATTCACCGTGTCTTTGTGAGACGCAAAGTAGGTGAACAGATGATCTCTGCATGTGTGGTTCCCACCGTGAAGTATGGAGGAGGTGTGATGGTGTGGGGGTGCTTTGCTGGTGACACTGTCTGTGATTTATTTAGAATTCAAGGCACACTTAACCAGCATGGCTACCACAGCATTCTGCAGCGATATGCCATCCCATCTGGTTTGCGCTTAGTGGGACTATAATTCGTTTTTCAACAGGACAATGACCCAACACACCTCCTGGCTGAGTGATGGAGTGCTGCATCAGATGACCTGGCCTTCACAATCCCCTGACCTCAACCCAATTGAGATGGTTTGGGATGAGTTGGACCGCAGAGTGAAGGAAAAGCAGCCAAGAAGTGCTCAGCATATGTGGGAACTCCTTCAAGACTGTTGGAAAAGCATTTCAGGTGAAGCTGGTTGAGAGAATGCCAAGAGTGTGCAAAGCTGTCATCAAGGCAAAGGGTGGCTACTTTGAAGAATCTAAAATATAAAATGTTGATTTGTTTTAACACTTTTTTGGTTACTACATGATTCCAAATGTGTTATTTCATAGCTTTGATGTCTTCACTATTATTCTACAATGTAGAAAAAAGTAGTAAAAATAAAGAAAAACCCTTGAATGAGTAGGTATGTCCAAACTTTTGACTGGTACTGTATATATTTAATTGTTTCTGAATAATGTTTTTTTGGATGTTGGATTGTTTTGATGAGCGCAAACCACAACCCTGATTAAAATAGTTTTTATACAGATCTATTTACTACATGATTACTACACAGTTACTACATGGTTACTATACGTCCACTGTCTGTTTCTTCCAACTTGTTGTCTTTCCACAACCAGTCAAGCCCAAAATATCCCAGACACACGGAGTTAATGCACCATATAAAAATGTAATGTATATTATTAATTTATCCTCTGGTTCTCATAGTGGCATAGTTATCATACAGTACACAGTATCAACACCCCCATAGCACCAGCGTCTCCATGGCAGTGGGGAGAGGGGCAGGGCATGGGGAATAGGGGAGGGCATGGGGAATAGGGGAGGGCATGGGGAATAGGGCAGGGCATGGGGAATAGGGGAGGGCATGGGGAATAGGGGAGGGCATGGGGAACAGGGCAGGGCATGGGGAATAGGGGAGGGCATGGGGAATAGAGGAGGGCATGGGGAATAGGGGAGGGCATGGGGAATAGAGGAGGGCATGGGGAATAGGGGAGGGAATGGGCACCCCCAGATCAAGAGCAGCAGAATGAGGCATCTTTGAATGAAATGTGTCTGGAGTGTGTGATTGTGTGTGTGTCTTATTGTGTGTTTGTGTCTTAGTGTGTGTGTCTTTGTGCGTTACAGTGTGGTCTGGTAAGAGGTCCCTGATCCTTCCTCTGAGCTGCTATGTAGGAGGGGCTTTCTCTCCCCGAAGGATGAAGTCAACGTCCTCTTCCGGTTCTGGCTCCGTCTCCTGACAGACAGGGCCACGGCCGTCATGATAATTCCTGCCACTATGACCCCGATGAGTCCTGCTCCCAGGAACGAGAGAGAGAGAGAGAGAGAGAGAGAGAGAGAGAATACTGCTGCAGACCCTGAGGCGATAGTTAGTCTGTGTGAATGTGAACAACAAGGTCTCTGCTAAATCAATGAAAGTTTAAAACACCGCTGCACTCAATCAGATCATACAGCGATAAGGAATTTCCGAACCCCACTGGGGGTTTAAAACAACGGGCTAAAATAAATTTATTCAAAAGGGGAAAAAATTTGATGCGATGGGTTGCACTGGGGGCTCTGTAAAAGTGATTTTTCCTTTCTCTAAATAATACAAATTTTTAAAACAAACTCTGTCACTTTAAAAAAAAAAATTTTTAAAAAAATTTTTTTTGGGGGGGGGCCCCCCCAAAAATTTTTTTTATATAAATTTTAAAAAAAAAGAGAGAGAGAGAAAAAAAAAGAGAGAGAGAGAGAAAAAAAGAGAAAAAAGGGGGGGGGGGAAAAAGGAAAAAAGGAAAAGAGGGAGGGGGGGGGGGGGGGGGGCCCCCCCCCCCCCCCCCCCCCCCCCCCCCTTTTTTTTTTTCCCCCCCCCCCTTTTTTTTTTTTTTTTTTCCCCCTTTTGGGGAAACCCCCCTTTTTTTTTCCCCCCCCTTTTTTTCCCCCAAAAAAATTTCCCTTTTTTTAAAAAGGGGGGTTTTTTTTTGGGGGGGGGGGGCCCCCCCCCCCCCTTTTAGCCCCCCTTTTTTTTTTTTTTTTTTTTCAAGATACTCCGAGACCCCAAACCTGGAGGTTAACAACTGGATCTAAAATAAGATTTAAATTCACACAGAGGAAATATTGATGCGATAGTTGCACTGGGGGCTCTGTGAGTGATTTTCCTCTCTAAATAATACAATTATTAAACTAACTCTGTCATGCTTGAATGTACAGATTGAAGGACAATCTGAACCATTCATATGTCTTTTGGCTGTGGTCAGTCCTCATATATATATATTATATATATATATATATATATATAGGAGAGAGAGAGAGAGAGAGAAGAGAAGCAGAGAGTATGAGAGAGAGAGAGAGAGCAAAAGAGAAGCGAGAGAGAGAGAGAGAGAGAGGAGAGATTGAGACGAGAGTGCTGATCAGAGAGATCTATATCTCTCGCGAGAGACTAGTCGCCTTCTAGCGGACGACGTCGCGCTTCTCGTGTTTTCCTGACTTTGAACGTTTGCTCGCGAGCCTTCTTTCTGGTCTCGCACATATTTGGCTAGGTGTGTGTCAGGGTTACTGACCTGGGTCAAGCAGCTAGGATTATTCGTAGCCCAGGACCTTGTATATAACTATATAGTAACCTATATAGTAACCATTACTGTGACCAATCGGAGTGTTGGCTGTTGGGTAGCGGGAGCGTGGCAGCATGTGTCTCCTCAACCACTGTTCATAGATACTACTGGATGATTTTAGGGTGGGAATGGAGGATGGGAGGGGCATAGGAGAGGGTAGTATTGAGGCTTTGCATGGAGAGGGTGGATTGTAGAGGCTAGGTGATGGACGGGATTAGAGGAGAGGAGAGGAGGGGAATTGGACAGGAGAAGAGGAGAGGCCTGGCTCGCAGTTGGTGTTCCAATTCATCCCAAATGTGTTCGATGCGGTTGAGGTCAGGGCTCTGCAGGCCAGTCATGTTCTTCCACACTGATCTCGACAAGCCATTTCTGTATGGACCTCGCTTTGTGCACGGAGGCATTGTCATAGTGAAACAGGAAAGGTCCTTTTCCAAACTGTTGCCACAAAGTTGGAAGCACAGAATCGTCTAGAATGTCATTGTATGCTGTAGCGTTAAGATTTCCCTTCACAGGAACTAAGGGGCCTAGCCCGAACCATGAAAACTGCCCCAGACCATTATTTATCCTCCACCAAACTTTACAGTTGTCCCTATGCATTCTGGCAGGTAGCGTTCTCCTGGCATCCGCCAAAACCAGATTCGTCCGTTGGACTGCCAGATGGTGAAGCGTGATTCATCACTCCAGAGAACGCGTTTCCACTACTCCAGAGTCCCGTTCCACTACACACTTCAGCACTCGGCAGTCCCGTTCTGTGAGCTTGTGTGGCCTACCACTTCGCAGCTGAGCCGTTGTTGCGCCTACACGTTACCACTTCACAATAACAGCACTTACAGTTGACCTGGGAAGCTCTAGCAGGGCAGAAACTTGACGAACTGACTTGTTGGAAAGGTTGCATCCTATGACGGTAAGGCCATGCCAATGTTTGTCTATGGAGATCGCATGGCTGTGTGCTCGATTTTATACACGTGTCAGCAACGGGTGTGGCTGAACTAGCAGAATCCACTAATTTGAAGGAGTGTCCACATACCTTTGGCCACGTAGTGTATCTATCAGTTGATTTATATTCTCCTCTCTCCTGGGGACATTCTCTCTTGGATGGAGAGATATTAAACAAAGATAAAATAGAGAGATAAAATTGAGGAATGGCTTTGGCATTTACACAGCCATGTCCCAGGATGTGGAAAACAGACAAAGCTATGGGCAGTCATCTCTCTCTCTCTCTCGCTTTCGCTCGCTCTCTCTCGCTCGCTCTCTCTCTCGCTTTCTCTCTCTATCTCTCTCTCTCTCGCTCTCTCCCTCCCTATCTCTCTCTGAATAGTATCTACCTAACTCTCCCCCTCTCTCTCTCTCTCTCTCTCTCTCTCTCTCTCTCTCTCTCTCTCTTTCTCTCTCTCTCTCTCTCTCTCTCTTTCTCTAATCATATGTTGAGGGGAACAAATTACTTTAGCCTTTAGAAATGCAATTGATGTAATTATGTACGCTTATAAATTGGAAGCCAATTTAGCTTTAGTTCGTGTTTGTCAACGTGGGCTTGCTAATGGGTTGTGTGTAGAAGCAGACAAACCTGTTGATGAGAAAATGTGTGTGTGTGTGTGTGTGTGTACAGTACCAGTCAAAAGTTTTAGAACACCTACTCATTCAAGGGTTTTTCTTCATTTTTACTATTTTCTACATTGTAGAATAATAGTGAAGACGTCAAAACTATGAAATAACCCATATGGAATCATGTAGTAACCAAAAAAGTGTTAAAGAAATAAAAATATATTTTATATTTGAGATTCTTCAAAGTAGCCACCCTTTGCCTTGATGACAGCTTTGCACACTCTTGGCATTCTCTCAACCAGCTTCACCTGGAATGCTTTTCCTACAGCACTTGTTGGCTGCTTTTCCTTCACTCTACGGTCCAACTCATCCCAAACCATCTCAATTTGGTTGAGGTCGGGGGATTGTGGAGGCCAGGTCATCTGATGCAGCACTCCATCACTCTCCTTCTTGGTCAAATAGCCCTTACACAGCCTGGAGGTGTTGGGTCATTGTCCTGTTGAAAAACAAATGATTGTCCCACTAAGCCCAAACCAGATGGGTTGGCGTATCGCTGCAGAATGCTGTGGTAGCCATGCTGGTTAAGTGTGCCTTGAATTCTAAATAAATCACAGACAGTGTCACCTGCAAAGCACCCCCACACCATCACACCTCCTCCTCCATGCTGTATGAGAGATGGCGCCGGAGGAGATGGCTGCTGTTTTACGGCCCTCTAACCAATTGTGCTTTTATGTGTGTTTTTTCGCGTTATTTGTAATTTATTCTGTACATAATGTTTCTGCCACTGTCTTTTATGACCAAAAAGAGCTTCTGGATATCAGAACAGCGAATACTCACCTCGTATTGGACTAAGATTTTTTTCTTCAACGAGTCGGACGCGAAGGATATTCTACAGACACCCGACAAGGCCCAAATTCCCGTCATTCGCATGAGATAGAGACAGAGATATTGTGGACATAGTTCGGGGTGCCTTGTAAGGTTCCGACGGCGAGCGAGTAAACTGCCTCTTCCATCAATCCTATTAGCCAATGTTCAATCATTTGAAAATAAATTGGACTACCTAAGATCAAGGTTATCCTACCAACGGGACATTAATAACTGTAATATCTTATGTTTCACCAAGTTTTGGCTGAACGACGACATGGATAACATCGGCGGGATATACGCTACATCGGCAGGATGGAATGGCCGGCTCCGGTAAAACAAGGGGTGGCACTCTGTGTATATTTGTAAACAACAGCAGGTGCATAAAATCTAACACTAAGGAAGTCTTAAGGTTTTGCCTGAGGGAGAGTATCTCATGATAAACTGTAGACCACACTATTTACCAAGAGAGTTTTCATCTATATTTTTCGTAGATGTCAATTTACCACCACAAACCGATGCTGGCACTAAGATTGAACTCAATGAGCTGTATAAGGCCATACGCAAACAGGAAAACACTCATCCAGAGGCAGCGCTCCTAGTGGCCGGGGACTTTAATGCAGGGAAACTTAAATCCGTTCTACCTAATTTCTACCAGCATGTTAAATGTCCAACCAGAGGAAAATACATTCTAGACCACCTTTACTCCACACACAGAGACACGTACAAAGCTCTCCCTCACCCTCCATTTGGCATATCTGACCATAACTCTATCCTCCTGATTCCTGCTTATAAGCAACAACTAAAGCAGGAAGCACTAGTGACTCAGTTAATAAGGAAGTGGTCAGATGACGCAGATGCTAAGCTACAGGACTGTTTTGCTAGCACAGACAGGAATATGTTCCGGGGTTCTTCCTATAGCATTGATGAGTACACCACATCAGTCACCGGCTTCATCAATAAGTGCATTGATGACGTCGTCCCCACAGTGACCGTACGTACATACCCAAACCAGAAGCCATGGATTACAGGCAACATCCGCACTGAGCTAAAGGGTAGAGCTGCCGCTTTCAAGGAGCGGGACTCTAACCCGGACGCTTATAAGAAATCCCGATATGCAAAGAGTCAATACAGGACTAAGATTGAATCCTACTACACTGGCTCCGGCGCTCATCGGATGTGGCAGGGCTTGCAAACTATTGCAGACTACAAAGGGAAGCACAGCCGCGTGCTGCTCAGTGACACAAGCCTACCAGATGAGCTAAATCACTTCTATGCTCGCTTCGAGGCAAGCAACACTGAAGCATGCATGAGAGCATCAGCTGTTCTGGATGAATATGTGATCACGCTCTCCATAGCCGATGTGACTAAGACTTTTAAGCAGGTCAACATTCACAAGGCCGCAGGGCCAGACGGATTACCAGGATGTGTACCAACTGGCAAGTGTCTTCACTGACATTTTCAACATGTCCCTGACTGAGTCTGTAATACCAACATGTTTCAAGCAGACCACCATAGTGCCTGTGCCCAAGAACACTAAGATAACCTGCCTAAATGACTACCGACCCTTAGCACTCACGTCTGTAGCCATGAAGTGCTTGAAAGGCTGGTCATGGCTCACATCAACACCATTATCCCAGAAACCCTAGACCCACTCCAATTTGCATACCGCCCCAACAGATCCACAGATGATGCAATCTCTATTGCGCTCCACACTACCCTTTCCCATCTGGACAAGAGGAACACCTACGTGAGAATGCTATTCATTGACTACATCTTAGCGTTCAACACCATAGTGCTCTCAAAGCTCATCACTAACTAAGGACCCTTGGACTAAACACCTCCCTCTGCAACTGTATCCTGGACTTCCTGATGGGCCGCCCCCAGGTGGTAAGGGTAGGTAACAACACATCTGCCACGCTGATCCTCAACACGGGGGCCCCTCAGGGGTGCGTGCTCAGTCCCCTCCTGTACTCCCTGTTCACCCATGACTGCATGGCCAGGCACAACTCCAACACCATCATTATGTTTGCCGACGACACAACAGTGGTAGGCCTGATCCCCGATAATGATGAGACAGCCTATAGGGTTGGAGGTCAGAGACCTGGCCGTGTGGTGCCAGAATAACAACCTCTCCCTCAACGTGATCAAGACAAAGGAGATGATTGTGGACTACAGGGGGAAAAAAAGAGGACTGAGCACGCCCCCATTCTCATCGACGCGGCTGTAGTGGAACAGGTTGAGAGCTTCAAGTTCCTTGGTGTCCACATCACCAACAAACTGTGATGGTCCAAACACACCAAGACAGTCGTGAAGAGGGCACGACAAAGCCTATTCCCCCTCAGGAGACTGAAAAGATTTGGCATGGGTCCTCAGATCCTCAAAAGGTTCTACAGCTGCACCATCGAGAGCATCCTGACTGGTTGCATCACCTCCTGGTATGGCAACTGTTCGGCCTCCGACCGCAAGGCACTACAGAGGGTAGTGCGTACGGCCAAGTACATCACTGTGGCCAAGCTTCCTGCCATCCAGGACCTCTATACCAGGCGGTGTCAGAGGAAGGCCCTAAAAATTGTCAAAGACATCAGCCACCCTAGTTACAGACTGTTCTCTCTGCTACCGCACGGCATGCGGTACAGGAGCGCCAAGTCTAGGTCCAAAAGGCTTCTTAACAGCTTCTACCCCCAACTTTAATTCTACCCACATGTACATATTACCTCAATTACCTCGACTATCCGGTGC